GTTTGACTGAAAATTGGGCCACAAGGGTGAATTCTGTTCCAGACCAAGGGCCACAGTCTTGGGTTCCTCCAGTCTCTTTCTGACCAGAAAGCCTGGTCTTTTTTTTGATAAATTTGAGTTGTGTTCCACATTTTCTCCCACTCTATTTGGGCCTACTAATGTGATCCCTTTCAGAGCAGATGATAGTGGTAGCTGGCCACCATCTAGTTCTTCTGGTCTCATAGTTGCAGTGACTGATGTTCACATGTTCCATTGGTTCATTGCACTAGTTGATTCCAGGTATCTTCAAATTTTTATCACTCTTCTTTCTTCCACACTGGGAGAGACCAATCGTTGCACCTTAGATGGCTGCTTATGAACTTTTTAAAAATCCCAGTTGCTACTCACAAAGTAGGATATAGAACATTGCCTTGCTGGACTGTGTTACACCAGGTGACCATTGTATTCCCTGTGACTATGGTCCTGAACTCCCAGGCCCAGCAACTTACTGCCTTGAGGTATTTGGTCATGTTCAAGACGTGTTCATCACTTTATTCCCTGTATGCTCCATCACATTCATAGATGTGTTTGTACAAATAAAGGAATCAAACTTTTTGAAAAATGTCTCTTTTTTTCTATTTATATACTTTATTTTTTCATGTTATTAAAATATGAATTATGTTAGTTTTACTTCCCAGTAGACTGTTTGAAGTTTAATTATAAAAATTGTATGCTTTAGGTTAGTATCAGTTTAGATATATTTATACTACCTCTTCACCCATCTACGTAGTCCTTCCAAAGGAAAAAAGTAAACACTGCTTAATTTCTTGTTTATTTTTCTAGGTAATTTTTATGTATACACAAGCTAATGCAGACATAGTTGTTAGAGTCTGTCAAGTCAGTTCTGACTCATAGCGACCCTATGCACAGCATTATAAAATACTGCCTGCTCCTGAGCCATCCTCACAATTGTTGCTATGCTTGACCCCACTGCTGCGGCCACTGTGCATATCCATCTAATTGAGTGTCTTACTCTTTTCACTGACCCTCCACTTTTCCTAGCGTGATTGTCCAGGGACTGGTCCCTCCTGATAATATATGTCTGAAGTATGAGAGACGATGTTTCGCCATCCTGGCTTCTAAGGAGCATTCTGGCTGTACTTCTTCCAACACAGATTTGTTTGTTCTTCTGGCAGTCCTTGGTACTTTTAATATTCTTTTCCAAAACCATAAGTCAAATGCATCAATTCCTTTACGATCTTCTTATTCACTATCCAACTGTCACATGCATATGACACATATGAAAACACCATAGCTTGTGTCAGGCTCACCTTAGTCCTCAGACTGATAACTTTGTACTTGAACACTTTAAAGATGTAGTACGTTGTTTGATTTCTTGATTGCTGCTTCCATGAGAGTTGATTGTGGATGTAAGCAAAATGAGGTCTTTGACAACTTCAATCTTTTTTCCGTTTTTCATGATGTTATTTATTGGTCCAGTTGTGAGGAGTTTTGTTTTCTTTACAATGAAGTAGTGTAATTGTTAAGTGCTGTTGAGTTGGTTCCGACTCATAGCAACCTTGTATAGAATTTCCTAATTTGCGTTTGAACTGACAACCTTCTGATTAACAGTGCAGTGTTTATCCTTCAGCGCCACACCAGGACTCCAAGGTAGCACAGTAGTCTCCCTTTTTATACTATTGATAGCATATAATAGGAACTTTTCTGTAATTTACTATTTTTCTTATATAGAAATTTAAAAATGATTTTAGAATTGCTTCCCCAGCTGGACAGAGCTGGAGAGAAGGAGCTGTTCTTAATTATCCTTGTATCGTTAGTGCTTAGCACTTTGCCTTGCCATGGAGGTAGCATATAAATGAGTGAATAAGTGAATGAAAAATCTAATTTACTACAGAAGAATGTGTTCAGAGTATTTAATGTACTCTTGATTTTTCTTACAGTGTAACAAAAAAAATATTCCTTTTATTTTTCTTGTTTTTTTCTCTCGAGTATGGAGGCAAATAAATAAGAGGGCTATCAGAAATAGTAGGATTGGGAATAAGGAGAGAAGTGGGGATAAGTTTGAAGGTAGAACAGAGTATAGACAAAGTTTAAAAACTGGTCTCTTTTCTGTGTGAAAAAGAAGCTTAGACCATGGAGAATGAGACAGGAAAGTAGTTGGTGATTATACAATTTTGATTGACGGGTCAGGTTTGTCATAAGCTTCTTGAGATAATTGATATATTAAGTTTGTCACTTCCAGAATGTAGTATAGTTCTTTGAACTGTATCTTGAATTCAGAATATGCTCCATTACATTTTCATTCTAGAAAGCTTCCCTCTTGTCACATGTAACATTTTCAAGTTTCTAGATTTACATGTAACTGTTTCATCAGAAGTATTTAAGATTCTGTGCAATAATTGTTTTGAAATGCAAGCATGATATTCACAGATACTTCCAGAATGTTGGTAAAAGAACATTGAACAGAGGAAGGAAAGGAATAGAATTGATTTCTAAAAAGTTGCTTAGAATATTAAAATTTATATATCAAGGAGCACAGCATTAGCTATTAGTCTGTTAGGCTTATTGACCCAGATGGCATGAGGTATTGTTACATTAATGCCAAATTTGATATCTTGATCCCTAAATTCATAAATGAGCATTACTTATGACTTGCTATGCTAGGAACTTGTGTATGAAGAGTTTCAGTACTTATTTTGTTGTTGTTAAGTGCTTTTCGAGTTGGTTCAGACTCAGCAACCTTTTATAGGGTTCCGAGGAGCGGCTGGTGGACTTGATTTGCTGACTTTCAGTTCAAACTGACCTGCAGTCCAGTGTATTATCCTGCAGCGCCACACTGGGATTCCAAATGCTTATTCGAGTATTCATAAAAATGAGAAATTTGTATTTTACAAATATTAAGTTGTTTTATATAATCTCAGTAACCCTCTGTGAGAATGCCTAACTAGAATAGCACAAGTTCTGCAGTAAAGAATATAATGTATGTAGTTGTTTATATGTTTTGGATATATGGGAAGGAATTATTTTCCCCCAAATTATGTAATAAAATGATCAGAATTATGGGAGAATTTATTTAAGGTACTGCCTGTCACCTTTTTCTTTCCTTGTAGGCGCCTAACTAAGGAAAATGTGAAGCCTTCTGGAAGACAAATTGGGAAATTGAGCCACAGCAATCCAACCATTTTGTTTGATTATGTATGTTTTGAGATTGATATAATTTTAAGGAATGTTTTCGTTTTTTCTTAAAGTAGTAGGCAGAAAGGAATGCTATGTTTTAAAATTTTAGGTAGTTTTGGGGGAGGGAGAGTTAGGAAATAAAATTGTGTGGTTATGATAAAAGCAAAACATATCACAATATATTTAATGATCTAACTTTCCAATACCATGTAATAGTGCTACTGTTAAAATTTCGATGACAAATTTAATTACTCGTTTCATCTTTTAGAAACATTTGAACAGCATTTCATTGCAATTCAGATATGTGACATTATTCATTTTAGAAAGTTTTCTAAAACATTACTTATGATAAAAGCTTTCCTAATTCCAAAAACCCAGTTTCAGACTTCCTGGAATTATTTTCTAATTGTAAAATGAAACCTAAAAAATCATCTCTGAGGGAAACTAGTTATAAGCATAATTTCCCCTTTCTTTTGAAAAAAGAATTTCCACACTACAAGTTCTTCTTTAATTAACGCTGTCCTTTTTTTTGCTGTCTTTCAGATCTTGTCACAAATACAGAAGTATGATAACTTAATAACACCTGTAGTAGATTCATTGAAATACCTCACTTCATTGAATTACGATGTCTTGGCCTGTATCCTTTCAAAGTTATAAATACATAGTTTTACATTTCAAAGAACTGAAAAGTGAATATTTAATTTTGTAACCATTTGAAGTAGATTCAGGTGGCTGATCTGAAGTTTGACCAGTCATTATTTTTCTATCAAAAAGATTTTGTCTTTGGGTTGTATATAGGAAGAGATGTTGGTTTTACCAAACATCATGATAATAGGTAGAATGTATCTTGCTTGCTGAAAGATGGGGAGTAAAAGGTTAAAGAAGAAAAGTTGGTGCTAAGATTATTGTGTATATATATGTATGTATGTGTGTGTGTATATATATATATATATATTTGTAATAATGCAAAGCAAACATTTTCCCCCAACATATGGCATACTTTTTGTTTTAAGGATCTTAGTAGAAATGCTATTATTACTTGGTGTCATCAAGTCAGTTCGGATGCAAAGTGACCCTATGTACAGTAGAATGAAACACTATGCTATCCTTTTGATTGTTGAGCTCATTTGCAGCCACTTTGTCAATCCATTTCATTGAGGGTCTTTACTTTTCTGGCTGACACTTTACTTTATCAAGTATGCTCTCCTCCTCCTTATAACATGTCCAGAGAATGTGAGACGAGGTCTTGCCATCCTCACTGCTAAGGACCATTCTGGCTGCACTTCGTCCAAGACAGATTTTGTTGGTTCTTCTGGCTGTCCATGGTACTTACATTATTCTTTGCCAACACCTCAATTCAAATGCATCAATTCTTCTTCTGTCAGTCTTTGACATACATATCTGGTGATTCAAAATACTATGGGTTGGGTCAGGTTATGTTAGAGACATAGCAACATAATTTTTTTCCTTAATGAATGCAAGACTGTATCATTGAAGCTTTAGCTAATCCGGAAAAGGAGAGAATGAAGCATGATGATACAACCATCTCAAGCTGGCTTCAGAGTAAGTATTTTAATTTTCATAGGTAAAATTTCTGTCTCTGGTAATTGCCACATTGTATATTTCATTACCTTTGCTTAGAGACTTTCATGAGCCTATTTATCAGCTGTTGAGAATGTCTAATCACTGGGTTTGTTCCATAGATTATCCACCTCCTTGCGTTTATGGTAGTGGTGGTGGTAATTGTGTGCCATTGAGTTGGTTCCAACTCCTAGCTACCGTATGTAGGGCTTTTGATGCTCTAAATCTTTACGGGAACAGAAAGCCTCATCTTTCTCCAACAGAACAACTGGTAAATTTGAACTGCTGAGTTTGGTTAGCAGCCCAGCTTGTTATCTACTATACTACCAAGGCTCCTTCCATGGGTGTATTAGCAGGTTTACATAGTATCTTGTCGTTTTCCCAGTTCAAGAGGCCAGTGTGGAGTCCTGGTGTGACACTGCAGGATAATGTGCTGAGCCGCAATGTCAGTTTGAGCCACAAGGCCGGCACTTCAAACCCACCAGCTGCTCCTTGGAAACCCTATACAGGGTTGGAACTGACTCGATGGCACTTCACAAAAACAACAAACAATTGATCTTAAGGGAACTGATTTCCCTTGTGTACCTTTCATCCCAAGGTTCTAGTCATATTAAAAGAACAGAAACTTGATTGTTTGATCAAACACCTATACTTGTTTCTTTTTATTTATTGTACTTTAGGTTTCTAGAAGCCAGTTCCCTGTTTTCTTTCAGTTGATCATGTCTGATAGCTGAGTCTTTCATTGCCTTTTAAAGTCTGAAATCTTTAATAAGTCATACAAATAAGTTAATTTGGAATCAGGTCCCTACTCACTGTTCCAGTCTCATCTTTTCCCACTTCCTTAATATTCTAGGCTCCAATCATACCTTTACTTTCAAAGCCCTTTGCACATGTCATTCCTTCTGTGTGAAATACCCTTTCTTGCCCTCTCACTCCTTCATCCCATTTTCTATTCTTTCACTAGATTTCAGCTTAGAGATCACTTCAGAAAGCTTTCCCTGTTAAGCTCTTACCTACAAGTTTTAATTTGGTTGACCTCATGTCTGTTCCAGGGAACTTTTATACTCATAGGTATTTCATTGTACTTTTCTGTGTCCACCACTAGACTATATGCTCCTGGAGGGCAGGATTTATGTTTTGTGTGTTGTTGTAGTTAGAACCGGCTCCATAGCACATAACCAACTAACCAACCAAGGAAATAATTGTTGTAAAGTCACTTGACTTTACTAGGATTCCCTTCCTTTCTGGACTGGGGTTTCCTCTCTATTCATGATATAAGCATTATTAGTTAAAGTTGGTCTTTTGTTTGCCTCTTGTCTTGAGATCTGTCTTCTTGCCCCTATCCTACTAGTAGCATGCTCCTAGATAAAAAGAGACTTTTCATTCTTTTTTTTTTATAATGTTTTATTGTGAATTATGTGATAGTTTACATGGGAGAACATTAGTTTTACATTGATTATATTGTTTTATTGCCCTGGTCATAATCCCCTCCATGCATCATCAACCAAATAAAGCGTATACACTACAAGCCTGCTTCCCAGTTGTCAGCTCACAGTCCCTCTCCCTGTCTGTGTCCAAAGTCCCCAACTGCTCCATCTCTCCACGTCATCGAGACTTTTCATTCTTGACTCAAATATCTGAGGGAGAGTTTTGTTGTTTATTTAACTTTACTACTAAACCATCTCCAAGGTTATGTATTGTCTGGCGTCAGGCTTCATAGGTTTAAATCACTGTTCTGCCTCATACTAGCTTCCTGACCTTGAGCAATATACTTGACGTTTCTGTTCCTAATTTGCCTCACCAGTAAGTTTCTATGAACCTAGGATGTTGGTTGCAATGATTGAGATTATCGGTGTAAAATGCCCAGTATAATTCTTGATTCAATAAACATTATTGATTATAAAATTCTAAATCAGTGACCTCAGCAATATAATTATTCATTTCTACCTTTGTTAATTTTAGAATTTGAGTTAATTGAACGCTAACTTTAGTCTACACTTAATGTTATGCTTTCTGTTTTTATGATCTTTTAGTAATCTTATTCTTTACTTCATATAGGTCTGGCTAGTTTCTGTGGAGCAGTTTTTCGTAAATATCCAATTGATCTTGCTGGTCTTCTTCAATATGTTGCCAATCAGCTGAAGGCAGGCAAAAGGTATTCATAGTAAACTGTATATAAATAAAATTCAATAAATAGAGTACATCTGGTGGTATTAGGAAATCGGGATGGCTATTATTCTGAAAGGCTGCTTGTTGGTTGGTTGTAGGCTCACGTAGAATAGTTGCTCACTTATTTATATGGAATTTGTTAAAAGGAATTATAATTTAATATAAACTCTACTACAACCTGGAGTCCTGGTGTGGCACTGTAGGGTAACCACTGGACTTCTAACCACAAGTTCAGCAGTTCAAGCCCACCAGTTGCTCCTTGGAAACCCTATACAGGGTCGCTATGAGCCAGAAGCAACACACCGACATTTTTTTTGGACAGCAACAGCAGCTGCTACAGTATACTTAAACGTTTTTCTTAAACAGTGATAAATTTACTATTTGGCTATATCTGTGAATCACTAAAAAGAGACTAACTCATTTTGATTATCTGATGTGCTTTTGAATAAATGGGCCATCCCTTTAAATAGGATTATTGTACATCCTGTGATGACAGAGGATGCATTACTGATTATGTTCCTGGACAGTGGTTGACATTTAAGTAGAATATTTGGTATGAAAGTGTATGTTATTTTTGAAAGTGGATATGTTGTAAAACAGTTAATTTTTAAATGTAAACTATAGAGATACTTATGATTTATATACTTTTTGGATAACATCTTCTTTTTCTTTATAAATACTGAATTTTATTCTTTTCTTGAGGGCTCGTGTCAGTGCTTATTGTTTTAAGTTTGTATGTATATTAAATTTGCCAGCAGTAGACAGACTAGAATCAAAGAACTACAAAGTGTTTTTCAAAGCTTTTGGGTTAAAAACAAAAAATCCCTAATATTTATCAGGTGTACTAAGCAAGCATTACCTATGTAATTCGTTTTTGTTTGTTTGGTTGTTTTTTTTAACCTACATAATTCTTGACAGATGCTTCTTTTAGCTTATGGGGAACAGTTTTAAAAATTAGCATTTAGACTCAGAATTTCATCAGTACATCAGTTATTACTTACGCTGGTCTCACTATTGGCTATACCTGTACATTCTACTCTGGGCTTATAGGCCAGGGGAATACACATTGGTTTCGAATCTGTAGCTCAAGTTTTTTGTACCATTAATACAGTTTTTGTGGTCAGCTAATTAAAAGATTTGTTGTTGTTAAGTGGTGTCAAGTCGGTTCTGACTCATCGGGACCCTGTATAGGTTTTCTGAGGAGCAACTGGTGAATTTCAACTGCCAACCTTGCGGCCCAGTGCATTATCCCACAGAGCCACACCAGGACTCCAAATTAAAAGACAGTTTAAAGAAAAATTAACAGAAAAGATTTAATGCATACTTGTACACTAATTTGGATGAGGGACCTATTGTGTTTGAAAACTCTTTAGGGAAAGCCAGGCAATTTGAGAGAGTAAGCGCTTGATAAGAATCTTAGAAAAACTGTTATTTTGTCTATTGTGCCTTCAGTATGTTGAGCTTTAACTTTGGAAAAATCTGTTTTGTAGGAATCCTAGGAATATTTTCACTTTATCTTCACTATTTAACTAGAATGTACTGCCATCTTAGGCTTAATACTGTAACATGGAGCTGCCCTGCCCTGCTCTTCCTTCCCTTCTCCCCTCCCTCCCTTCAAAGTGTGTATGTCCTTTCTACACCTGTATTTCCTTTTACTAAGTGGATTTTGTAGAAAGCTACCTGTATACCATAAAAAATATATTGGCCATCCTGTATTAGATGAGAAAAATGCTATAAAAGGACATTATTGGGTCACCTGATAAGACTGAAACATGAACATTAGATTCAATACAAGCATTGTGTCAGTGTTGGACATACTAAAGTTGACAATTGTACTATAGTATGTAAGAGAGTATCCATGTCCTTAGGAAATGCATGCTATCGTATTTATGGGTAAAGGGCAATGATGTATGTAACTTATCCTCAAATGATTAAAAATATTGTGTTGCACTGATTTTTATATTTTCAACCTATTCAGTTAGAAATGATTTTCAGATGAAAATGTAAATTATAAACATTTGTGCCAAATAATTTTTGGTCTTGTTTTAGGGATACAACTTTTCCTTTGTTTTTGCCCATAAAAACCACTCAAACCCCTCTCTCCTACATTCTCATACAAATAATTTGTGGATTATCAATGTACTCATTAAATATGTTACCCTTTTATATTTTAAATTTTCAACTACAAACTGTTTCTTTTCAAAATAGTTTTGACCTGCTGATATTGAAAGAAGTGGTACAAAAAATGGCAGGAATAGAAATTACAGAGGAAATGACAATGGAGCAACTAGAAGCTATGACTGGTGGAGAACAGCTAAAAGCTGAGGTGAGTTTTGCTGTTTTTTATTGTTTTATTGTCTTTAAAATTTTTTTGAAGGTGTGCATGCCCATATTAAAGAATTCAGACAATCCAGAAGAACATGAAGCCATATATATCCTCCCTTCACCAGCACATTCTACTTTTTAAAAATTGAGATACACCTGTCATTTTAATCTTTTTCTTTTTTTTTTTTTAAGTGAAGCTAAGTGTGAAAGACCATTTATACATTTATAAGGGAAATTAATACCCTGTCCTGTGTGGTCTGTGATAAGACTTAAACCTGAAGGTAGTTACTTTGTTGTTAAATCTGTTTCACACTGAACAAAGAATAATCCTTTATCAGGGACTGCAGTGTGGACAAAGAAATGTGAAGTACTTTATAAACACAATGGACGGTTGTCTTCAAGCTAGTGACAGTAATCAGAACTAGTGTCACTAGTGTGGTGGCTCCATACAATAAGCTCTGGAGTGCCAACCACAAGGTCAGTGGTTTGATCTCACTAGTTGCTGCACTGGAAAAAGATGTGACTTTATGCCCCAAAAAGATGTATAGCTTCGAAAACCCCTATAAAGTGTCATTATGAGTTGGAACTGACTTGAAAGCACATAATATCAAGAAGTGTAGTCAAATAAATTTATGTAGACAGGGGAAGGCTAAGTAACACAGAATGTCTTGAGATTTTTATTTTAAAGATTGTAACTCAAGTTTTTCTTTTTCAAATCAAATGGCATGTGTTATGTACTTTGCACTGATAAATTTATGTCTTCTCTTGTACAGGGTGGCTATTTTGGCCAGATCAGAAACACTAAAAAATCCTCTCAGAGGCTAAAAGATGCACTACTGGACCATGATCTTGCACTTCCTTTGTGTTTACTTATGGCTCAACAGAGGAATGGCGTAATCTTTCAGGAAGGTGGAGAGAAACATTTGAAACTTGTGGGAAAGCTTTATGATCAGGCAAGTTAAAGTGGCTTCTGTGTTTATGTAGATTGTTTTATTTGGATATAATAAAATATAGACTGATGTAATTTGAAAAGTGTCATGTTATGCACATCATACGAGTATGAAACAGTACTGGTGTAAAATAGACATTCAGGAAATAAGTCATATTTCTGATTGACTTCAGAAATAGATGCAAATTAAAGTTATATAAGAGATGACTATTGTTGTTTGTTGTTATGTGCCATGGAGTCGGTTCCGACTCATAGCGACCCTGCACAGGGTTTCTGAGGCTGTTAATCTTATGGGAGCAGAACGCCTCATCTTTCTCCCACGGAGCAGCTATAGGAAAGCTAATATGATAAATTATTATTTTCAAATAATTCTCGCATTAAATTGCTGCAACTTCAAGTTGTTTGTTCTCATATCTTTCCTGATATCTGAAAAGGAATTTCAATTACAACAGAGTACATGTTTTCTTTTTTTTCTCTCTCTCTCTTTGTAGACTAATTATAGATTTGGGTGTTTAATATTTTTAAATACATTTGATAAAATTTCATCTTTAAAAGGCAAAGAAAGGCATTACTTCTGTTTGCCTATGTATATTATTTACATGCTTTAGGTACCTAATTCTTCCTTTAAAATTAATAAACAGTGGCTTGAAACTTGTTGACTATTATGGCTTTGGGTAAGTCAACCAATCAGTGCCTCAATGTATTATGTAATATGATTGTGATTTTGTGATTTTGCTTGTAAATGGTCTCTAAAATTCGTTAAAGCTTTAAATTTGCATTCTTTAAGTGTTAATCAAATAGTGTCTTAATTATTTTGGAAAATATTTGTGTTGGTTAATCAAGACTGTTTTTTTTTTTTTTTTTTTTTTTTTTTCAATTTAGTGTCATGATACCCTGGTCCAGTTTGGTGGATTTTTGGCATCTAATCTAAGCACAGAAGATTATATAAAGAGAGTGCCTTCAATTGATGTGCTCTGCAATGAATTTCATACACCCCATGATGCAGCATTTTTCCTGTCTAGGCCAATGTATGCACACCATATTTCAGTAAGTACAAGTATCCTTGCTGCCATTCAAAATTGTTGCATAATTTTTGTTTTTAAATGCATTTTAGTTTGACAGAAGTATAGATAATATTTCTTGGAGTGTTACTCTTTTGTTCATACTCAACTTTGAACAGTGTCCAATGAAAATGTCTCTATAAAAATAAAGTCTTACTAATTTTAGCTGTTACAACTTCACCAGTTTTCCAGATATCTTACTGGCCTTCTGTAACTGTAGTCCTCAAACGCTAGTGAAGATGAGAATTACCAGGGAAGTATGTTAAAAACTCAGTATAAAAACTCAAGTTCACAAATTCTATTTGGGTAACTTGGACTAGGGCCTGGGGATTTCTGATGTTTTCTTAAAACAAGCACTAGATGATTCTAATTCTGGTGGATCTGACTACCTCATTCTAACAAATACTCTTGTTGAGTACACAGAGTACTGTTTCTGTGATAATAATATCCTTGTTTGATGACCTATACTGCCTTGAAGGACAAACAGAAAGACTTAACTTACCTGCCCCAAATCCCTTAAATATCGATGCAGTCTCTGTTGTGTAGCTTCTAGGAGGATGTGCTCATATTTCTTGTTCTGGTCTATTTCATTCCACTTTAATACAACAGTCCGTCCCCCCGTCACCCCCCCACACACAGTTGATCAGTCTCAGCTATACAACAGAGGGCCTGATTTCTTAAAGTACTGAGGTGAGAGAATGACTTTATCTCAGAATTCTGCCTTGTCCAATGCTATACTAAGAAGTGAGCACACTATATTGAATTCTAGCAAACAGGTTGCCTGAACTTTTCCAGGTCAGAAAATGGAGCAGGTCATTCGAAGCAATAAATATGGTATCTCCAGTCTTTGTAAAATCGTCTATCTTTGTTGTTTAAGAAATAGAAAATTTAGAGAAAGAAATGGAAATTGAAAAACAGAACTTAATATCCTCAGACCACATGCTACACTTTGAAAAGGGAGTTCCTCTGTGGCTATAGTTCTGCTGGTCTGGCATCCAAGCTACTCTGGAGATCCTATTGGGTGAATGAGCACCTCTCTTGAAGAGACTTACAGGATAGTGAATGCGCATGTGCATGCGCATTGGAGGATTGCTAAGCCGTCTCTTTGGAATGGGCACAAATATGGATCTCTTCCAATCAGTCAACCAGATAGTTGTCTTCCAAATTTCTTGGCAGAGATGAGTGAGTGCCTCCTGTGCTACCTCACTTTCTTGAAAGGTTTCAATTTTTATTACATCAATTCCTGGAGCCTTGTTCTTTGCCAATTCCTTCAATGCACCTTGTACTTCCTCCCTGAGTATCATTGCCTCTTGATCATATGCTACCTCTGGAAACGGTTGAACATTAGCCATTTCCTTTTGGTACATTGACTCTGTGTATTCCTTCCATATTCTCTTGATGCTTTCTGCATCATTCAATAATTTGCCCAGAGAATCTTTCAATAACATAAGTCGAGGCTTGAATTTTTTCTTCAGTTCCCCGAGCTTGAGAAACGGCTGAGTGTGTTCTTCCTTTTTGGTTTTCTGACTCCAGATCTTTGCACATTTGTTGTAATATTTTGCTTTATCTTCTCGAGCTGATCTTTGAAATTTTCTGTTCAGCTCTTGGACCTCCTCATTTCTTCCATTTGCTTTAGCATCTCTACGCTGGAGAGCAAGTTTCAGAGTCTCTTCTGACATCCATTTTGACCTTTTCCTTTCTTGTCGTCTTCTTAATGACTTCTTGCTTTCTTCACGTATGATGTTCTTGATGTCATCGCACAACTCTTCTGGTCTTCGTTCTTTAGTGTTTAATGTATCAAATCTGTTCTTCAGATGATCTCTAAATTCAGGTGGGATCTATTCAAGGTCATATTTTGGCTCTTGTGGACTTGTTTTCATTTTCTTCAGCTTCAGTTTGAATTTGCATATGAGCAATGGATGGTCTGTTCCACAGTCTGCCCCTGACCTTGTTTTCACTCATGATATGGAGCTTTTCCATGGTCTCTTTCCGCAAATGTAGTCAATTTGATTTCTATGTATTCCATCTGGTGAGGTCCATATGCAGATCGTCTATTATGCTGTCTAAAGAAGGTATTTGAAATGAGTAAATCAGTGGTTTTGCAGAATTCTATCATGCGTTCTCCAGCATCATTTCTATCGCCAAGGCCATATTTTCCATATGACCCTGTATAGTGTTTCCATGGAGCAGCTGGTGGTTTTGAACTGCTGACCTTGTAGTTCGCAGTCCAGTGTTGATCCTATAGCACCACACCAGGAGGGAGGGTGGCAGTATTTTAAGTTGTTGAGCCTCATGTACCCACCATAGTGCAGAACTAGAAGTGGAATCTTTGTCCTCTGACTTTCTCAATTTTTGGTACCATGTGTAGCACAAACAGTTTCTTTGTCGTAAAGAAACTAGTTAAGCATCATCTTCAAGGATGGTGGCTAATTCAAACAAACGTTCTGAGATAAGTGATCTTTCATTCTGAAGAGACTGTAGGACATGAGACAATAGCAACAACTGAGGTTTATTATTGTATATTTTTGTTGCTTGGGATAAGCTCTGAGCTAATTTGTAGCCCCTTCCATTGTACTGGAGTCCCTGGGTTGTATAAGAGTTTAACATGCTTTGTTGCTAACCAAAAAGTTGGAGGTTTGAATCCACCCAGAGGCATCTGGCGTTCTACTTCTGTAAAACCAGCCATTGAAAACAGTTCTTCTGGTAGCGTAGTGGTTACGAATCGGGCTGTGAACCTTAAGGCCAGCAGTTCGAAACTACCAGCCGCTCCGCGGGAGAAAGATGAGGCTTTCTGCTCCCGTAAAGATTTACAGCCTCGGAAACCCTGTACAGGGTCGCTATGGGTCGGAACCGACTCGACGGCACTTAACAACAATGACACACATGAGGTCACTATGAGTCGGAGTCTATTCCATAGCAAATGTTTTTGTTCCTTCTCACATTGTGTTGTTAAGTGCTGTCAAGTCGATTTCAACTCAGCAACTGTATAGGGTTTTCAAGGTTATTTTTCTCATACGGTTTAGAGTACGTTCTTCTGAATCTCCTCTCAAATTAGATAAGCCGATCAGGCCAAAGAAGCTACTGTTTCTCTTTTTACACACACATAACCATTGTTAAGTGCCATCAAGTAGATTCCAACTTAGGGACCCTGTATAGGGTTCTGAGATTTTTAGTCTTTACGGGAGCACAACGGCTAGTATTTCTCCTACACAGTGGCTGGTGGACACAAACTGCCAATTTTGTGGTTAGCAATATATGCTTATCCTCTGGAGCCACTGAATTCCTGTACATATCCATAGCTGTTGACAAGAATAAAATCATATTTGGTCTAGCACTACAGTGACCAGATGGTTCTGGTTTATCTGGGACTTTCCCAGGTTTATCTTGAAAGTCTTTTATCTCGGACAACAACTGCCCTGGGCAAATCTGGCCACCCTACTTAGCAGTAACCTTCTAATAACCTTTCTTTATGTTGATTGGGCTTAATTGACAAATTTTAAAAGCTGACAGGAACTACATGTAACAATACTACATTCTATCTTGGCTGTCTCTTACTGGTTCCATTCTGCCTCTTTACTAATATTCAGATCCTTGACTTGGTTCCCTTGACTATCTCAGAAGTGGGATTGGAAGCCCACCCTACATATTCAATACCTGATGGAGCAGAGCAAGAGGAATAGGGTGGGGGTAGTGGACGGGAGAGGAAACATACCCTCTCATGTACTCAACTGGTAAGATTCCATAAAAGTCTTCGGAAAAACTCTTAGGTAGCTCATAAGGCTAAAGAGTGGAATTACCAGATATGATTTATCATAAAGTAAGTGTTGGTAAAAAGGTAGAATTCCCTGAACAGTTTAGAGATTGGTGATCTTCTAATTCTTGAAAAGGGAATAAAGATGTTTTACCATAAAAATCAATGCTATAAATTGTGGTTTTTTTTTTTTTTTAACTTTTTATCTCTAGTCAAAATATGATGAACTTAAAAAATCAGAAAAGGGAAGTAAACAGCAACATAAAGTTCATAAGTATATCACATCATGTGAGATGGTGATGGCTCCTGTTCATGAAGCAGTGGTCTCTCTGCACATTTCCAAAGTTTGGGATGACATCAGCCCTCAATTTTATGCCACGTTCTGGTCATTGACAATGTATGACCTTGCAGTTCCACAAACCAGCTATGAAAGAGAAGTCAATAAACTGAAAATCCAGATGAAAGCAATTGATGACAATCAGGAAATGGTAGGATTTTATTGTATTATCTCAAGCACGATAACTTTATGACATACCATTACACTGGCTTTGAAATTGTTTTAGCTCTGGTTCATTTTAAAGCTAAATTGTGGCTATATAGCATTTTCTTAAGTAGGTTGATGAGAACCTTTGAATGAGTCGGGGGTAAGGGTTTTGGTAAAGTGGTGGAGTGGAGGTTTTGATCTACTGAAGATATTAGCAACATAAAGTGATTGATGTGATTCCAATTGGGAGAGCAGGCTTTATTGAAGTGGTGGCTCTTGAGCCAGGTACGTTTTAAAGATAGAATTGGATATATAAAGGCAGATAATGAGGCCACTTCAAGACTCCATCAGAAGTGTGATGCAGTCTAGGTTTTAAGGAGACTTGTTTTATTGAATGAATGGAACTAGTGGTAAATTTGAACAGTTATGGTAGGAGCAGATTATATAGGGTTATGAAAGCTGGCTAGAAAAGTAAACTTGATAAAATTTAGAGCAATTTTAGATTCCTAAGCAAGGAAGATAATAGTTAAAATGGTACTGCAGAAAGATTACTCATGGCAGCAATATGAAGGATGCATTTCATAGAGGGAGGAATTCCGTTACGCTGCAGGCCAGGCTTTTTGGGTGGTTGAGTGTGAGGTATTGAGAGCATATAGACTATGGTGGAGGCAGTGGAAGTGCATTCAAAGATTTGTCAACAATTTGAATATAGGAATGAAGGGCAAAGAGTCGAAGAGGACTCCATGCCTAAGACTGGTGATACCAGTGTTGGAAAGGTGGCCTGTTGTGGTGGGGTACAATGGCTTTGTTTTGAATGGAATTTAAAGTAGCGTATCCAGCTAGACCTATGTATCTGTGTTGAAGGGATTATAATGTTTGAGCATTTATCTTTTTAAAACTGTACATTTAAAAAGGGAGGTAATTGCATACAGTTAGAAAAGAATCTAACTTATACTTTGTAGCCTCCAAATAAAAAGAAAAAAGAGAAGGAACGCTGTACTGCCCTTCAGGACAAGCTTCTTGAAGAAGAAAAGAAGCAGATGGAACATGTACAGCGAGTTCTACAAAGACTAAAACTGGAAAAGGACAACTGGCTTTTAGCAAGTAGGTTTATAGAATTGCTGCTGCTAAATTACAAAAGAAAATCTTCGTAACTTTGCAGGTCTTGAAGTGTATTTATGTTTATGTTTCAATTTGAGGTTCACCACTCTGTTCTTTGTTTATTCATTAAGCAGAATCAACTTCCCATGCTCACTGAAGGAAGCAATTTAGTTTGCTGGTGACATTAATTAAGTTACAGTTAAAATATTGGCAGTTTATCATTCAGCTCTTCTGTATAAAATTATATTTCTGCAGAAATTATAGATAGAAAAATGTCTTCAGACTAAGAATGAAAATCTTATCCTAGGTGTGACCTTTTGCTACAGACTATAAATAGTGTGTGGTTTTATAGTACTTTCTACACTAAACCTATTATGTTGTCCAGGCACTAGAGGAGTAAGTTTACCTCTTTAATATATTCTTCTCTTATTTTTTAGAATCTACCAAAAATGAGACCATCACAAAATTTCTACAGCTGTGTATATTTCCTCGATGTATATTTTCAGCAATTGATGCTGTTTACTGTGCTCGTTTTGTTGAATTGGTACATCAACAGAAAACTCCAAATTTTTCCACACTTCTCTGCTATGATCGAGTAAGTAATTTTTATTGCAACCTTTTAAAAAGAACTCTCACACAAGGATAGGTAAACATTATAATCTGTAAGAAGTGTTACTGTGGTTAAAAGCATGAACTCAAGCCAAATGCCTGAACTTGAATCTTACTTAGCTCTATTACCTTCTTTCTTTCTTTTTTTTTTATTTGGGGTTTTTATTGTGGATTGAGTGAAAGTTTACAGGGCAGATCATCAGTTTTACAGTCAATAAATCATACACCTTGTTTCATTACAATGATTATAATCCCCTCCATGTATCATCAGTTAACAGTATTTCTCTCTACTCACTTTAGCTCTTTAAAAAACAAAAAACAAAAAAATCAACCACTCAGGCATAAATAATAGTTTACACCTCCAAAGGGCACATTCTGCAAGTCTGTCTCATGGCCACCAGCTCTTAGTCCCTCTCTTCCCATGAATTTAGAGTCTTCAGCCGTTCCCTCTCTCCATGTCCCCCTCGCTGCCTCTGTCTCTGGCGTCGCTGCTTGTCTGGATAAGGTTCCGCATTCTCCTTGTGCTCTTCTCCCTTGATGGTCCTAGGGTCCTCTGTTTCTGGACTGTAAGATTAACCACTCCCTCGTTTTGTTAAAAAACTTCTACCTCAACAATGTGACAGTCGTGATTAGTCATGATAACAATTATTCACTATTGAATCATATGAATCTTATCCCCATCTCTTTTCACCAGACCCATCTAGAGAAGATGAAAACTATTCAGTGGTGATTCTTTCTCCCCTCCCCCCGTCCCCGTCCCCGTCCCCATCCCCACTCTTAAACTAAACTCCCTCTTGAAACTTTGTAAGCCAGTCACTTCGTGCCTCTATCACCCCCTCATTTTAGGTAACCAATGTCCAAATTGTCCCTCCCTATCCACCCTGTGTACAGAGGGGATAGCATTGATACTTGATGTGAAGACTCTTTCCCTTTCTGTTGGTTATTTAGTTACTACCTTCATGAGTATAGGACAGGGTCATCAAATTGTAGCAATTTACCCTTGTTTCCTTTATCCACCCCCCCCCCCAATTTTTTTTTTTTTTTAAATCTTCTCTAGTTGGGTTCTGACAATCAAGGCTAGGTCAAATGGGTACTGTCCGCAAGTTTGGGTGTTCTTGTGCATCTGCCCCCACTTCTTATCAGCTGGATGCTTCAATCTCAGCTCTAGCCCTCTGTGGTTATGTCCTTGTCCATGGTCTCAAGTGTCCTCAGATCTCACCACATTTTGGACCAACCAGCCCTTCCTCTTCTCTCTCTCATCTCCATGTCAACAGGATTCAATGGACTGTGTTTGAACTCAGCCCATTTCTTCATTGCTCCCTTTCCCGCTCTTCCACTAACCAATGGACTAATGTGGTCACCAGTAAGCTTACTTGTGTGTCCGTGTGTTCCCTTTGAGTTTCAGTCTTAGAGGGGAGTTTGTTCTGAAGGAATTTGATTACTTGCCTTGATGGCTTCCTGGCGAACAGCTTGCTTATTCTTGTAGTAGCCAGTCAAGCTGACATTTTTGTTTTGGGTTTTTCTTGGTGATCTTACTTTGAAGATGTATCTTATGTCACTCTAGCTGTTCCAGGCTGGTCTGCTTGTCCTTGTTAGTGGGGGTGTCCCACCTCATAAGGTTCTGGATGGGACTCAGGATTCCACCTAAGGTCCTATACTCTGCAAAGGCTTTGCAAGAGGCCTATTTCGCTGTGCAAGTTCTAGAACCCCTTTTAGGTATTCTAATCAGTTATAGGCAGAAGATGGGCTTACAAGTTTTCTCTAATCATGTTTCCCAGCATTCTTTTCTATCCCATGCAAGTGTCTATTTTACAATAGTAGGCAAGGGAAACTGATATTCATAAGACAGGCAAGCATTTCAGTATTATTTCCCCTCTTTAAACTATGCCTAGATCCCTGTATCACAGAGCCCTGTTGTTCCAAGTTTGAGCATGCATCACTATTTACCTCTGTCCCACTTAGGCCATGCAAACCTGTCTCATTGTTCCCCTATCTATCTCGTTCTTTCACCTCCTACCCCTTCTTGTGGTGTCCTCCCCAAGACCCGAACTAAACCCCCCACCCCAGCCCCACTGTTGTGGTTACCTTATATTACATTAACACTTCCCTCGATTTAAGACAGTCTGTTTTATCCTGTAATCTACCTGTCCTTCTCTCCACCTGGATCTCTGTTCCTCATTGTTTACGTTCTTTCACATTGTAATTGTTTTGATCATAGACTGACCGCCCATATCATCTGTTCTTATCATTTTATTCTGTTCTTGACTCTTCCATTTGTCAATTAGTTCAGGGTGATGCTGCCATGTACGTCATTATCTGGTTGTTGTCTGTTTTTGTTGGTTCTCAGTCCACAGAACTTCCTTTAGGATGTTTTTCAAAGCAGGGTTGGCTTTTGCAAAATCTCTTAGTTTCTGTTTATCCTGGAATGTTTTGATTACACCTTCGTATTTGATTGACAGATTTGCTGGGTAGAGGATTCTAGGGTGGCAGTTTTTTCTTTCAGGGTTTTATATATGTCTCCCCATTGCCTTCTTGCTTGCCTGGTTTCTGTTGAGAGATCTGAGCTTAATGTGATTTGCTTGCCTTTGTATGTTACACTTCTCATTTTCCGTAGCTGCTTTTAGGATTCTGTCCTTTGATTTTGGAGAGCTTGATTATTATATGTCTTGATGATTTTCTTTTAGGGCCTATCCTTCCTGGGGTTTGTTGAGCTTCTTGAATGTTTCTCTTTTTGCTTTTCAGGATATTAGGGAAATTTTCTTCCAGAAGATCTTCACCTATCTCCTCTCTCGACTTATGTGATTCTTCCTGTTCTGGAATGCCACTAATTCTTATGTCATTCCTCTTGAGGTTGTCCACCAAGAATCTTAGAACTTCTTCAGATTTTTTTTTTACCCTTTTTTGTGCTTTCTGGTCTATTTTAGTAGTATTGAGAAGGTTCAATAGTTCTGGCTTGTGTCTCTTCAGTTCTACTCCTTTACCCTTTCAGTGTACTGTCCATTTCTGATATTCTATTATTAATCGTTTGGACCTCTTTCTGTAGGTTTTGAATTGTTTCCAATGCTGTTGTCTATCTTATTTGATTGTTCCTATAGCACTTTCATAACTTCTTCCTTATTTTTCTCAATTCCATTGTATAGTGTTTTGATACATTTTGTAATCATTTTTCTGAATTCCTTCTCAGGCATTTCCAAAACCTGTTCATCTTTCAATTTTGTAGTTTAGGTCTACTTCCAGCTCATTTACCTCAGTCACTTTTTCTTGTTTTTGGATATGTGCCGATATGGTCATCTGCTCCTGTTTTTTGGGCATATCAGGAGTTATCTTAGTTGTACTTAGATGGGTGTGTATTTTGGTATTTTTTATGCTTTCTGGTTGCCTCCAAGTAGATTTGATCAGGAGGTGGACTTCCCTTGTCACTCTTCTTCCTGAGAAATTTCAAGATGCCTCTGTTGGTTGTTGTGACTTAACTCAGGATTTAATTTTCGGCCTGTTTCCTTTTTAGTCTGCCATTCCCGCTCCACAATCCCAGTTCAGGCCTTTTTCCTAATGATAAACAGTTCGGGGCCGGCTGTGGCCATTTTGCACTGCCGTTTGGTTTTAAGTGGAAACGGTCACTTTAAATTTCGAGGAGATCTGTGTGCATGCGTATGGAACCCTCTGGGGGTTGTCCACTCACTCAGGCACCACCTCTAGTCATCAGAATGGAGGTGCACAGACAGCGAGAGACCAATGAACAAATACAAAATAAAAAAGAACGTCCACACGTTTATCTCCGTGGTTCTGTCAGGCATCTGTGGCTGCTCTGATCCTTTGCCTGCTCGGTCTCACCCAAGATGATCACTCTGGGAGCAATGGATTTCTTGCTTCTGCTACAAATTCCCTTAGCTGTAAGCCTTCCAACTTTCTAAATATTCCTTTATATGTGGTTCAGAGTTCTGGGACCATCGCCTGAGCCTGCTTGGTCCAGTATTCTGTGTTGTTGCTGACACCCGATACTCCATCTTGTTTATTCTCCTAGCTCTATTACTTTCTACCTTTATGATCTTTGGCAAGTTATTTAACCTGTCTATGCCTCCATTTTCTTAGCTGTAATGCCGAGTGATAGTATCTGTTTCCTAAGATTTTGTTAGTACTACACTAGTCACCACCCATTAAAGCACTTTAAATGTTGTTGTTAATTGCTGTTGAGTTGGTTCCAACCCATAGCGAAACTGTATAGGGTTTCCAAGGAGTGGCTGGTGAGCTTGAACTACCAACCTTACAGTTCAAACTGACTTTTCCGTCCAGCTCATTAACCCACAGTGCCACAGCAAGACTCCAGCTTTAAATAGTGCCTGATATATAATAATAGTGCTTGGTATGTAATCATTCAAGATTAAGCTATTAACTGTACCTTTGGGTTTATATGTTTGATTTATAGGTAGACTCCTCTTCTCTATTCCTAACTCGCACCTTCTCCAAAAAACAACAAAAAAAACCCAACATACATAAAAGTAGTGAAGTTTTTCAATATAGTCACATTAGCAGACTTTGCATGTGATTTTTCTTAATAAAAGATTGCATTTTGGGTTTAAAAACATGTCTTGTTTCAGCATGTCAGATACCAATTTCTACTTTCTATCAGCCTTGCCTTGACTCTGCTTACTAGTCCCCCTAAATTCAGTAATACCTATGGCTAAATCTTTGCTAAATAAGTTATTTTCTAATAATGATTATAGCTTTTTCTTCTGTCATTGTAAATCAGCTTTCTATATAGATGTTTTTTTTAGTTGCCTTATGAATGAATGTGCTATTTTCCCATAAAAAACTGTAATCTTCAAAGGTCTCTACAAATATAAAGATTAAAAGAGAAACATTAATCTGACTAAATTTAGCTGTTAGCTCATTATTATTTTCTATAAAATGATCTTTTAAGTTTTGAACTAACGTTGACCTTAATTTGTTTTTTTCAATTGTATTTTTTTCCTATAGGTTTTCTCTGATATAATTTATACGGTTGCAAGCTGTACTGAAAATGAAGCTAGTCGATATGGGAGATTTCTTTGCTGCATGTTAGAGACTGTTACCAGGTGGCACAGTGATAGAGGCACATATGAAAAGGTATAACTAATAAGTACCTATATAGGTAGTTTACTTTTCACATGAGGACTTCCAGTAATATTTGGATTGTTCGGTCTTTAGAGCTAAGTATAAGATTGAATTGTCAAACAGTGTTTAAAAAGTGCTATGTTTTTAAATCCTAGTTTAAATTGGCATTCTGAATTATCATTAAATAAGATGAACCTTTATGTTGAAACTACTTACTATCTAAATACACATCACATTTTCACATAAAACCATTAATCTTAATTAATACCTGTTTCAGTTTTGTGCTATTTTATAGAACTCACTTTTTCTTTTAAAGTGACAATTTTTTATTCTTTGCTTTTTTTTAAAAAAGGAATGTGGAAACTATCCAGGGTTCCTTACCATATTACGGGCAACTGGATTTGATGGTGGAAACAAAGCTGATCAATTAGACTATGAAAATTTTCGACATGTTGTACATAAATGGCATTATAAACTAACTAAGGTAAAAATGAATTCAGTTTTCAAAGGTGTGGTTTTTTTTTTTTCTTTGTGCTTTCACATTTGTAATCTTAATTTTTGTTGTAGGCATCAGTACATTGCCTTGAAACAGGCGAATATACTCACATCAGGAATATCTTAATTGTGCTAACAAAAATACTGCCTTGGTACCCAAAAGTTTTGAACCTGGGTCAAGCTTTGGAAAGAAGAGTGCATAAAATCTACCAAGAAGAAAAAGAGAAGAGGCCTGATCTATATGCATTGGCTATGGGGTAACACAATCTTACTTTAATGTGACTTATGAGACTAGATGACAAAAGGATTCTGAAGACTTTAAAATGTTTTACAGTGTTGAAGTTTATCTTCTGCCTTATTTCAGGAGATTATGGGAGATTATGCGATCATGTTCCCACAGGCTGGTGAGAGTTGCCACTTCTGATTATCAACTTCCGGTCTATACTGGATGATAGTTACAAAAGTCATACTTATATTTCTTAGTTGAGGAGAAGCTTTAATTTTATCATCAGTTGAGTTATCAGTTTTTCAGTAACAAAAAGGAAAGTCCATATAAGTGTTAGTTTATATTTAGAGTTTTATTTTTAACAAACTATCTCTCTATAAAGACTTTGAAGAACTTATTGAAAAATTAATATTTTTATTCTCTAGGACCAAGTAACGAAGAGAGTAACTTGTTAAATTTATTCTTTTAAGACCCATGTTTGTCTTGTTTGATTTGTGCTTGTATATTTAAACACTTTGTGCGACTTTCAGCTACTCTGGGCAGTTGAAAAGTAGAAAGTCATACATGATACCTGAAAATGAGTTTCATCACAAAGACACGCCTCCGAGGAATGCAGTTGCCAGTGTACAAAATGGACCTGGTGGTGGGCCTTCTTCATCGTTGATAGGAAGTGCATCCAAATCGGATGAAAGCAGTACTGAGGAGACTGGTATGCTTAGTAGAAATTTGAAAATAATACATTTTACTTCAACAAACAAACATCTTGTTTCATTATAAGTGAAATATCTTGATTTAGTATTACTTTTTAAATTTACTTGGTAGAAGTATGTAATTGTCAAGGAAGTAATCAACCTGTTATTTATTTTTAATTAATCTCTTTACCATTTTGCTGTGAAATTGTAATTTGTTTACGTTTACGGGCTGATCAAATAAAACCTTGCCTTTATTTCAGATAAAGCAAGGGAGAGATCTCAGTGTAGTGTGAAAGCTGTCAACAAAGCTTCTAGTGCCACACCGAAAGGGAATTCAAACAATGGAAATAGTGGCTCTAACAGGTAGGAAAGTTGCCGTATGTTAAAATTAAATTATCATATAATCAATATCAGTAATCATAAATGGAAGGGGATGGTAGTTAAATACTATGAAATCATTTATATTAGACTTTGAAATTCGGTGCATGTCATTATTTGTCTGATGCATTCACCCTCCTGCATTTTTTATAATTCTGAGACTTAATTTTCCCTACTAGTGTATACAGGAGAAGGTAGTTGGCAAATAAGAAAAACCAAGCAGACAAAACTTTAGGTTTCAGTGATTGCTGCCAACAATCTGGTTATAGATTATTACATAAGAAAAGTCTTCTGTCTAGCCAAGTAACCCATTTCCAGATTGTAGCATCCCTGGTTGGTTTGCAGGATATACTTTTGGCTGTTGCCATGACCTTATTGTCCTCAACGGTTATGAATGTATACTTAAAAAAATGAAGCCTAGTATCACCTTCACCATTCTTTTAAATCTGCTTTCAAGTAATTTGTTTATATACAACCTACTGGATAAAGATGTGCTTTCTACTTGTTTTAAAGATGTCCTTTAGTATTCAAAGGGCTGCCCTTAGTTTTGGAGTCCTAGTGTGGCATTGCAGCATGATGCACTGGACCACAGTATCAGTTTGATCTGCAAGGTTGGCAGTTCAAATCCTCCAGATGCTTCTTGGAAACTATAGAGGGATACTATGAGTCAGAATTGACACAATGGCACTTAACAACAACAACACCCTTAGTAATAGAATTTTTTATATCAGTAGAAGCCCTTTATGATTTTAAACATGAAATATGGGTTAAGATCATTTGCTTTAAAGTCTCATGTTTTTATCATTCAGCAGCAAAACTGTTAAAGAAAATGACAAAGAAAAAGGAAAAGAAAAAGAAAAAGAGAAAAAAGAAAAGACTCCAGCTACTACTCCAGAGGCCAGGGTACTTGGTAAAGATGGTAAAGAAAAACCAAAGGAAGAGCGGGTGAATAAAGATGAAAAAGCAAGAGAGACCAAGGAAAGAACACCAAAATCTGACAAAGAAAAAGAAAAGTTCAAGAAGGAAGAAAAAGCTAAAGATGAAAAATTTAAGACCACTGTTCCCAATGTAGAATCAAAATCAACTCAAGAAAAAGAAAGGGAGAAGGAGCCATCCAGAGAAAGAGATATAATAAAGGAAGTGAAATCCAAGGAAAATGCTAAAGGAGGAGAAAAACCACCAGTTTCTGGGTCATTGAAGTCCCCTGTTCCCCGATCTGATATTGCAGAACCTGAACGGGGCAAGTTGTGTTTCTTTTTATTTGTTTATCTTTTACTGTATGCTTGGTCTTTGTCTCCTTATTTTGTTAAATTATCCTAGGAACTTTGCTAGGGAATCTATTTAGTTTAGATAGCCTTGAGAGTTGGTTAGTTATTTTTGCTTGGAAAAAATGAAGATTGGAATCATACCTGATTTGAACTCTTTTTTTTTTCTTTTTGTCCCAACAGAACAAAAACGCCGCAAAATTGATTCTCACCCTTCTCCATCGCATTCCTCAACAGTAAAGGTTAGTATAGCCTGAGGAAGGCAGCGTCCATGTTAGGCTCACCTGTTTGGAATACCAGTGTCCTGACTTCCTTCAAGTCTTGTGCCAAGTATTCACTGGAGTCACTGGAGGTTTTATAATGCATTAGAAAATGAATATTTTCTATATTGGTGGACTGATTTTTTTTGCTATTGAGTATTTTTATTATAAAAATATTAAAACTTCAAGGACTTAGCACTAATTTTGTAAATAATGTTTCAAAGTACAAGAGAAATTTTACCCAGAAGTGCCTCGCTGCTTTAAGCAGTCTATTTTTGGAGTGCAATGGTAGCTACAAGCAAATGAATCTTTTCGGCAGAATGAAGCCTATTTTTCTGCATAAATATTGAAGAATATATAGCACTGAAGACTTCTTGGATGATACAGAATAACAAGATACCTCTGAATTCATCAAGCTAAGAAGGAGTCTTGAAAGGAGTTCGATTGTAAAGTCTCCTTGGTGATCAGTTCTGCTGTAGTTGTGTGTATTCAGTGAGCATGCAGCTTCTGTTTATCTTCCCTTGGAGGTTTGTTTATACCCATTGGGTTCCCATCAAGTTGAACCTTGCGTTACGATAAAAGCAGATGTGGCATCCAGTCCTACCACCCAGCAAAGAGAAACCCCAGGCATTCAATCAACTGCAGCACAAAATCGTGGGTGTAGCCTTCTTGAAGACTCAGGGTAGCCATTCCTTGCTCCATATTTAATTTTAAATCTAAAGTCATCTAATTTCATGGAATCTTTGAATTTGCAGTACGTTGAACTTTTAAAACTGTAAGTTACTAATTCTTCATCAAGAGCACTGGTGGAATACTGTAATTGATTTCTTTTTCTTTTGTTTTAAATGCCTTTTTTGGTGGGAGGTACAAAATTCACTAAGGCACTTTGCAAAAAAATTTAAAAAGTAATTTTCTATAGAATACATTTTATTTTCTTGATATAATGCCACTGTTTTCTAGCTTGGTTGTTTGTTTTTTTGGTAATGTATATTTTAGAGTTGCAAGTAAAGTAAAATTTGAAACCTCCCAATTAAAGAAAAACTGAAAATATAATACACTGTTTTTGTACAATGATCTCCACTATTTTAAACTTCGTGGAGAAAAAAATGTTTTGCTTTCTTAAGCCTCTTAAATTACCTGTAGCTTAAGTTTTGGAAAATGTGGCATGTACATATATTTATAAATTCTGAGCAGAAATATATTTTTATTTATTGCATTGAGTATATACAGTTTTTTCTTTTCTTTTTTTCTCAGCATTACAATTCCATTACATGGTTTTGTTTTGTTTTTATTGTTGATGTTCATGTTGATAATGCCATCATGAGATTTATCCTCACAAGAAGTAGCTGGTTTTATTTTCAGGTTACAGCCACACCTCCCAAAGTTCCTCTGGGTTCTGAGAACTATGCCAGCTCACCTGTCATCTCCATTCATTTTCTACAGGACAGTCTCATCGAACTCAAGGAACCTTCAGCAAAGGTTTGAGTCTTTTAAAATCATCATGCCTAAGTAAACCAAAAATTCTTTACTACTTTTTATTTAGATTTCCTCCTCCTGGTAAATTCATTAAGCCAGGATCCATGGGGGAAAGAGATCTTATTTTTTTAGAATGACCTCTAAAAATACCTATCACAAACTGACACAATGGCTGGCACAGGTTGCTTTTAAAGAAATTGTTATAAAATGTTTGTAATGTGGCAACATTTCTGTAATCTCTCCTTGCTTGCTTTGTTATGCATTCTCCTTTTATTCTTTAAAATTCTTGAAAATAGATTTAAGGATTAGACAAGGGTTTGTTTTAGGGAATATATTTATTATTTAATTTCTCAAAACAAATCTGACAGGCTATTTTCAGTATGTTTTTTGTTTAGACAGCCCGAAATACCCAAAAGTGAAGTTTCTGCAGTCACAAAACTGTTCTAAAAACTGAGCCTTTTTCATTTCATAAATTTTTTTTTTTGTTTCCTCTGCTGAGCTACCTTTTTGGTAGTTGTAGCAGAGTACCAATTAATGTAATCATTCCCCTGGATGATAATACTCAACTTGGTGGTTTACATGTCAATATTAATTCTTACCTGTCATTTTCCATTACTGAGTATTCTGCTACTAAAAGTAATCTGCAGTTTGTATATCTTAAAACAGAAATCATTTCGTATTATAGCTGTATTGTCCATTGTTCATGCTGTTTTGTATTATTATAAAATGTGTACCGTCCTTTATTTTGATATTCTACTTAATCCCCTTTTAAATCTGCTAAATATGATTCCTTACTGGTGGACCAACACAAAACAAAATTCTGAAACAGCCAGTTGACATCACAAATGAATTTTACATCTATAGCTTTATAATGAAATGTCTGTGGATACTGATTGGGTAAATAAACTTATTTTTGACAGTTAAGATTAGTCAATGTGCCTGTTTCCTAAAATTGTAGGATTATTTCTAGAACTTACTGTATTAATAAAAAAGAATATCAGCTGTTCTGTGAGCATTTTATTGGCTAGATTAAATCTATAGTAGGTTTCTATAACCAGTTTGAGATTTTGTATGTCAGTCTTAACATCAATGGCTTTTGCAGTCTAGTTTAAATTTATGGGTTAACTTTTGGATATTTTCTGAAATATATCTTGAAAAGCAGTTTGATACCTTTTAAAGTTAACTGGATTTTTAAAATCAATGATGGTACTTCACATTTGTGAATGTCTTGTGTAGATTTCAGTATACATAAAATAACTTGGTGTGCTCATAATAGCACTGTGACGTAAATAAATAGAGTAGTTGGTATTGACTTTTTGACAAATAGGACACTGAAAAGTTCTTGAGATTTTCCCAGTGACCTACAATTGGTAGTACTAAAACTGGGACTAAAATCAAGATCACTCATTCTTAGCACCTCATCCTTTGGAGTGTTCGTTTTGTTTTTTAAATAATAGTGGTCTAAGTCAGTCTCCCTTACCCCCCACCCCCTTTTTCACGGTAATTTTGTGGGTAGTTAAAATTCAATGCCTTTATTGCTATCCAACCAGGAAAAAATGGGAAATAGCATATGAAGACATTTTAAACAATTAGGCGAATCATACCACTTTTTAGATCCTTAATGCTTCACATGGTATCTGGCAATATGATTAGGTGTTCAATAAATAATTGAAATGAACTTTTAAGCCTTTGCGTCAGAGTATTGGTTTGCATAATAGCTGATGTTGCACTTTTACATGTCTAAGCAAATGTAATAGAATATGACTGCCTTAGAGAACAAATTTTACTGGAATTTGAATGATGTTTAAAATTGATTATCTATAACCTCAGTATATTTGAAGAAGCTTGTCACTTGTACATATAAAATTAATTTCCCTGCTTTAGTTTAACTTCTTTAATTGTACTTCTCCGTGGGATTTTCTATAAAGGTAATATATTCACTTTGCAATCCAAGATAAAAGCAATAACAAGGATTCAACTTAGCTAGTGAGAAAAAAATATTCAAATATTTTTTGTTATTTCATCCTTCACCCCTAATTCCCAACAGACATTCATTATGTGCCCCCTGCCATGGCTACATTTTTATTTCTAGAAGTCTCTTTTCTTAATGTACCAGTCCTTTCTTCATAAGGTGTGTGTGTATGTGTGTGTAAACATTTTATTGTGGTTTGGGTGAAATTTACTAGATAAATTAGTTTCTTTTCAACAACTGATACTCATTTTGTTTCGTGACTGTTAGTTGCAATCCCCTCAATGTAGTCTTCCCACGTCCTCCCTGGACTCAGTTAATGTTCTGACCTTCCAATCTTAGCAGCTATATTTGATGAAGAGAGTGTTAAAACATGTTCTCTAACCACAGAATTCAGTTTTTAATTCTAGTCACTATTTAAAAATAAGGATGTTATAAGTCTAAAAAAGTGAGACTGCTCTTATGTATCTCAGCCTAAATGAAGTCATTGTAGCAGTGTTCTCTTAAATAGATTTTGAAAATTGGTCAAATTTTTTGGGGGGGACCTAATTAATGATTGCAGTGTTCGGAATAAGAGCAACTCAAGAACAAAATCCAACAATGCTATGAATACAGATGAATCATTTATTTTATTTGGCAAATAAATGTATTATGCTATGTATAAAAGGAAAGACACTTAGCTTCCTCTACCATATCAGAAACTTTGTTACAGACAAAAATAAATGACATTAAATTAGTAGAGAATACCTGCCACATACACACAAATATAAAAAAGGACATTGCAGAATTGAGGAGGGTTGAGTGGTGATGGTTTTGAGATGGCTTTGAAGGCTAAATAAGATTTCACAAGATTAAGATAATGGAGTGACCATTCAAGGAGCTCTGGTAGCGTAGTGGTTACGAATCGGGCTGCGAACCTTAAGGTCAGCGGTTCGAAACTACCAGCCGCTCCGCGGGAGAAAGATGAGGCTTTCTACTCCCGTAAGGATTTACACCCTCGGAAACCCTGTACAGGGTCGCTATGGGTCGGAACCGACTCGACGGCACCTAACAACAACAACAACATTCCAGGTGAAGAGAACTGTTGCAAAGGGCAGGGTGCTAAGAACACTTGATGGGCATAGCCTAGAGTGCATTGGTTTGCTGTATAAAAGAAATTATGAAAAGATTGGGGAAAGCTTGCAAACTCCAAGCTAAGGAGTATGTATTTTATTGAGTGGGCAATGAGAGACTATATTTTTGTGGAAAAAATATTGTGGTCAGAGGTATTCTTAGAAGGGTACAAAATAGGAATAGAATTGGGGATATTTCTAAACTAAGAATTTATGATTGTGTATTAATTGAGCTATTTGACTCTTTAGGCCAAGAATGAAGTATTTATTGGAACAATAATGCCAGAAGTAAGTCCTAGAAAAGGTTTTTTAATTGCTTACAATACAGAATTCAAGTTAGATACAGTTAAAACTTCATTCTTACAAAGTTGTGTGTATGTATTTGTAATCACAAACCTTTTGTTTTCCTTTTATTGGGAGAAATTAAGCAATACTTTTCCTAGAGACATTTTGAGTATTCAGCTTCTCAAGTGAGAAATAGATGTCTTTTGTTTTATCAGTTTCATAGCTAATAATTATGAACCTCACAATTTAAAATATTGAAGTGTTATTTAAGACATAGCCAGCAAGAGTATTTTGGACAAGCACTTTTATGACTGTTTTTCATTCTCTTGCTCTTTGTAATTGATAAACATTTTGTGTATTTCAGTTGATCATCAACTTTTAAAACATTGAAATTTTAAAGACGCTACTTCTGCATTGCTATAGCAGTATTTCTGACCCAACTGAATTGAAATGTTTGGTCATGTTAAAAAAAATAAGTGTTTCTTAACTGATTATCTTTTTTTTTTCATGTATTCTGTTGAATACTAAAGGATTTCTTTGTGTACAAATATTTGACTTTTGACTTGACTCATTATTCTACTTATTCCTAAGGTATTTCTATAATTGTATAGTTATATAATAAGTTTATTCAGTGTACCTGCTGCCTAATGCTTTTAATGTGTTAGACATAATCTTGTAGCACATTTATAAATGCCATAAAGTTAGGTATCTGATTATTTCCTGATTACTTCCTAAATATTATCTTTTATAATTTCAAGATGTTCAACTAGTATAAGTAGGATAATCTGTGAGTTCTTCAGAGCTAGAATATTCAGACTCCTTGGTTGTTTTGACTATTTTATTGCCTATGGGCCCTTTGGCAGCAACAGACTAAGCAAAAAAGAGCACCGACTCATCATTTTCAGTCTTTAAGTTGTTTCATCATTTTTAGATGATGAAAATGACTAGATGGTTTTCTGAGCTATTTGGAACCATTAAGACAAATCTTACAGTCATTTGAAGTAGAGAGTATGTTGCCAACAATATGAAGAGCTGGTGGAGCTGTAGAATAAGCACTGCTAACCACAAGGTAAGCAGATGAAACCCACCAGCTGCTTGAGAGAGAAAGCAACAGTATACAGGGTCCCTATGAGTCACAACTGACTCCACAGCACCTAACAGCAACATTCATGGATTATACTGAGGCAGAAAAGACCTTTGGTAAAGTCCTGGCTAGGTCCTATTTTCTAATTTTTGCTTACTATCATTATTGATTGCCTATCTTAAAATTCTCATGATTTAAAGATATGTACCTTTTTTACAGCAGAAAATTCTGTCTCTGTTATGCACATCTAGACTCTTGTAATGGAGATTACAGATCTTCAAAACAGAGCCATAAGGAGAACTCCAGCATATGAATTTACTGAGTATCAATTGAGGCAGTAATGAACAGTTGAGTTTAGATGATAATTTTTAAAGGGGGAAACATGGAAGCCTTCCATAATTTGTGTCATGGATTTTTTTTTTTCTTTTTAACCTCTTGTAATTCAGACAGCTGACCAGTTTTGCTTTTGGGTCTTTCATGAAATTAAAAAACAACAACAAGAACAAAAAGCAAAACAGTGCCAATACTGGAAAACTAATAATCTTTAGTAATATTGCCTTAATTTAACAGCTCTACACTAATCATACTCCTCCACCACTGTCCAAGAGTAAGGAGAGAGAAATGGACAAGAAAGATTTGGACAAGTCACGGGAAAGATCCCGAGAGAGAGAGAAAAAAGATGAAAAGGACAGGAAAGAACGGAAAAGGGTTTGTAACCTTTTATAACCCAGTTTGGAAAAGTTGATATCATGTGTAGTAGTATGCTTGTTGCCTTTAATTTTTAATGCTGGTACCCTCCATAGCAGTCCACTATTTACTGTTTTATTTGCTATTGTAGCCCTAATGTATGTTTGCTACTCTTACAGCAACAAGGATACTCAGTCTTCTAATCTCTCTAATCTTGCTTGTCTGTCATGCCATTTTACCAAGTCTATGAAACTACCACAAGTAATCTCCAATGCTAGTTCTTTGCTCTTCTAGTGTAAAAGTAATAACCTTAAAGCAAAGGCCATAAACCCTTGATCAATGTAGCTCACAATTCTTGGTTCTAGGATCATTCAAACAATGACCGTGAAGTGCCACCGGACTTAACCAAGAGGCGTAAAGAGGAAAATGGAACAAGTAGGTAGACTTAATAAATACCTTTGAAGCAATCATCAAACTGAATTGGAAAAGGCTTTCATGATTTTCTTTTATAATTTTAGTGGGAGTTTCAAAACACAAAAGTGAAAGTCCTTGTGAGTCTCCTTATCCAAATGAGAAAGACAAGGAAAAAAATAAGTCAAAATCTTCAGGCAAAGAAAAAGGTGGTGATTCATTTAAATCTGAAAAGATGGATAAAATCTCCTCTAGTGGCAAAAAGGTAAATTAGGAAAACAAAAGAATAGTATATTTCTATTTTTAAAATCAGGTCTTTGAAATTTTTAGCATATCTTGAATACTTTTTTAGTTAAACAATCTTTTGCTAATTATTTTGGTATGGGGGAAAAAGGCAGGTTATCTGTTACTTGCAAACTCAGTTCCAAATTACTAGTAGGGTAGAGCTTACCACAGAAATCCCTTTCCTCTCCATTCCGCTCTTACCTGTGTCCATTCGTTGAGTTTCAGCTTTTCTTTGTATTTTCTTTTTGTTCTACTGATGTTTTGCTTTAGTTTCTCTTCACTTATGAGATCAAAATATTGTCACATGTATTCTCCCAGACCATCACAGAGTCATAAAGTCTTTATGAATCATGATTTTAAATGTATGTTTATAACATTTTCTAATAAAGTAACATGTTTGCAGCCTGTATTTGATTTTAGAATTAACTGTAGGGTGCGCTTTCGTAGATACTAAGGTATCATATCACTTGGATGATAGTAAAAATAGATCTCATGTATCTGCTATAAAGTAAGTAAATTATCACTGATGTATAAATGTGCATTATCATAGAATATAAATGTACATTATCAGAATACAAAATGTGTGTCATATTTATAATTCATAAAGCAGTTTTAGGAAATAATGTGCAAGTTTAAAAATTTCTGTATGCCCTAAGAGACTGATTCTCGTAAATAAGTTTATTTTTAAGAGGTAAATTTCCACATAACAGCATATTAGTCATTTACAATAAAGTATTCAATTTCATGGCATTTAGTAAATTCATCATATTGTACAACTATCTCCTCTATCTAGTTCCAAAACATTTTCATCACCCCAGAGGGCACTTGTATCCATTAAGCAATTATCTTCCTGGATTTACCTATTTGGGATAGTCCATATAAATGGAATCCTATAATATGTAACCTTTGTGTCTGGCTTCTATCATTTCAGCATGATTTCCCCATATTGTAGCATGTGCCAGTACTTCATTCTTTTTGTGACTGAATAGTATTCCACTGTATGTAAATTTTGTGTATCCATTCAATTGTTGATGGACATTTGAGTTGTTTTCACCTTCTGACTATTGTGAATAGTGCTGCTATGAACATTCATGTACAAATATTTGTTTGATGACTTGTTTTCAGTTCTTTGGGGTGTAGGAGTAGAATTGCTGGATCGTATGGTAATTTTATGTTTAACTTTTTGAGAAACCACCAGACTTTTCCATAGTGGCTACACCATCTTACATTCTAACCCAACAGTGTTTGAGGGTACCAATTCCTCCACATCCTTGCCCTTATTTTCTGTTGTTTTTATTTTTAATAATAGCCATCCTCGTGGAAATGAATGGTGTTTCATTGTGGATTTGATTTGAATGTCATTAATGACTAATGATGCTTATTAAGGCTATTTAGAGAAATGTCTGCTCAAGTCCTTTGCCCATTAATTATTTATGTTGTTTTTTCTTTTTGTTGTTGAGTTGTAAGAGTTCTATATATATTCTGTGTATAAGACCTTTATCAGATACACAGTTTACAAATATTTTCTCCCATTCTTTAGGTTGTCTTTTCACTTTTTGATAGTGTCCTTTGATGCACTAAAGTTACTATTTTTGATGAAGTGCAATTTGTCTATTTTTTTCTTTTGATGCTTGTGTTTTTGGTTGTCATATTAAATAAACTTAAAGGAAAAATTTATGACAGGTGGGTGTTAAAGTGGTTTTTTGAGCTGATTGTTATATTTGATTTTTCTTTCCCCACTTAATTCCACCATTCATTATAGGAGTCCAGGCATGATAAAGAAAAGATAGAAAAGAGAGAAAAACGGGACAGTTCAGGAGGAAAGGAAGAGAAGAAACAATATCCTTTTCATTGTAATTTTTTTCAGTGAGTATAATGGAAATCTTTGACACTAGTCATGTTTTAGAATTGTACTCTTTAATACATGGTTTAAATGCCTATTAGCTTTTAAAAGGTCTCTCCTACTCTGAGGATCAGACTTTAGCCACCTAGTAGACATAGCAAACGGTCCCTCATCTGATTATTCAGTTATGCTTGTTAGTAATCGCATACATGAGCCCTGGATATCCACAGATAAATGTAAAAACTTTCCCTAAAAGCCGAGACTGTAAATTCCAAAAAGGCAAAGTTTTTCCCTAAAAAAAAAAAGGAGAAAAGCCAAAGAGGATAGAGAGAAACACTGTTAACTGATGATGTATGGAGGGGATTATAATCAATGCAATGAAACAAGTCATATGAATGGTTGAATGTGAAACTGATGATGTGCCCTGTAAACTTTCAATCCACAATAAAAACTTTAAATTAAAAAAAAAAAAAAAAAAAGGTCTCTCCTAGTACAAATGTATGAAATCTGGAATTGAGAGACTTGGTGTTCTTGGTTTAATTTCTGTGGTGATTGAGGCTGTTACATGCTACCAAGGGATTTAGAGTCCCTCTGGTTGTATTATTACTGAGAGGAAAAAGGGGACTAGAGAATCTTTTGGGCTGGAGACTTGGGAATAGAAGGGCAAAATAATGCGGAAGAGAAGCAAAGCTGGTAGAGTTAGTGGCTACCAGGCTGTTCATAACCAATTAGGCTTGCTAGCTGAGGGATTGTACTAAAAAGTGAGATACTTTTTTTTTTCCTCCCAAAGTTGTTTTCCCTTAATTTGTTATCTACTCATAAGTCCTCAGACAAGCACAGATAATGAAGACTTTCCATCAAGGTGAGTGTTCTCTCACTTCGTTTCTTTGATAATGTTGAAGAAACTAGATTCATTTTGCAAGATACAATTACTGGAAGCTTGCCCCTAAATTAAATGACTGAGTCTTTGGGTATAGTTGCAAAAGAAGATTCACTTCAGTTATTTTTAAGCTGTTTTCATTTTAAGCTTGCTGATTAACCACACTTTTCTTTGTTGTTTTTTTTAACATAACAAGATATATTTGAGGATATCTGACTTCTCTTTATCTCTGGTTCCCATCTTCTTGGGATAATTGATGACCCTTTTTTTTTTTGTACCTTCAAAAACCAAAGCCTTTGCTGTCGAGTTTATTTCAGCTCCTAGGGACCCTATAGGATTGTTATAACTGCTCTGTAGGGTTTCCTAGGTTGTAAATATTTACAGAAGCAGGCTGCCACATCTTTCTTCCATGGAGCAGCTGATAGATTCAAACTGTCATCTTTTTGGTTAGCAGTAGAGCATTTAATCACTGCCCCAGGAGGATTCCTTTTAAAGTTCTCATGCAGGCATGTTATCCAGAAATTTTTGCTTTACGTTTTTATAACACTTTTTTTTCTACGTTTTTATAACACTGCCCATATTTCATAATGCTGGCACCTATGATCTGTACTTTTATGGAATTTAAAAGGTGTGGTTTTGTTTTCAAGGCAATTCACTTATACCTTATGTGAGATTTCAACGTAAATGTTTACCTTTTTATATATCAAAATGGTATTTTATTAGAAAGTTTTAAAATAGTTTTAATAGATTATATGCCCATCTTAATGGATAACATTCAAAACCTTTTTTGAGCACTTAAGATCATGTTGTTATTGCTGTTGTTAGGTGCCGTCTAGTCTGTTCCGACTCACAGTGACCTTGTATTAGGGTTTCTGAGGAGTGGCTGGTGGGTTTGAACTTGATGTTAGCTGTCCAGTGCTTATCCTATAGTACTACTTGGATAGCTATTTTTGTTTGGTGATACCTTAGGGACAATCGAGGTATGTAGGGTGACTTGCCTCCTTCATTTAATGATTTCAAGTGGCTGTTTTTGAAGTTGACTTTTTTTTTTTATAGCCCATTTTCAATACTGTTGTTAAGTGCCGTGGAGTCGATTCTGACCCATAGCGACCCTGTATAGGGTTTCCAAGGAGCAGCTGGTGAGCTTGAACCGCCTACCTTGCAGTTCAAACAGCTTTGCAGTCTGGCACATTAACCCACAGCACCACACCAGGACTCCATTTTCCATATTAGCTGTCACTTAATGCTGTTATGTACACTTACTGTCTGTGTTGTTGTTAGTTGCCATCGAGTTGATACCATCTCATGGTGAAACCACCCCACCCCCAATGTTAGTTGCTGTTTCTAGTGTTTTATGAATCCAGAAAGGTAACCAAGACTATTACAGTTGTTAAAGAGTGAGAAATGTGTGAGAACCAGTTCTGTACAAGGGAATGAACTTTAGAATGGGGATTTTGTGATACTTATTTTAATTTAATAGTTTTTTTAATTAGGAAGATTATAAAAGGAATAGTATTGCCATTCTTCAATTGTAGCTGTCTCACTAAACACCCTAACTCTACTATCTTCATTAGGATTGGACTTACTAGGGCTACTTTTTTTTGTTAGTTGTTTCACTCACATAGGCCATAAGTTTTTACTTCTCTACAGAGTTTCTCAGAACCAAAGGCATGAAAAGTCTGACCACAGATAGGCATTTGATTAGTAGTAAAACTTCTAGATTCAGATATCTTTTAAACACATTTAGTTCACTCTGTTAAATTTCTTGCTGACAACTATGTACTGTACTTTCTTCTTGAGTAGACTTTTGCATTTTGTGAGACTGGTTGATTTTCCCTTTTTCCGACCACTTCCTATCTATAGAGATAGATTCTAGGTTAATCAAATGTTTCTCTTTTTCTTCCTATTCTTTTCGAGGTTTTTTGTTTTTTTTGTCCATTTGCTTGTCCTGCGCATCTTCTGTTACTTGTCTTTGTCCAGATTAATTTAATCACTCCTTGATTTGCTCTCTTGAATACCAGTAGCTGCTTTGCCTTGAATCTTTTCTCCACTTTAATCTTCCTTAAAACTTCCTGTCTAGTGAACTTAGCCTCTTTGAACTGTCCTGTGACTTCTCAATTTTCATTTGATATGGTAATCCTGAACTACTGTATCCTATAGGGTTGTGTTATGTATTGGAATCGTTTTGATAGCAGTGGATCTGGTTAATTCTGAACTCCTCATGAATGTAAGTTCAACAAACTTTTTGAGGATTCTTCTGTGACCCTGCAGATTTGCTCCCAGCCCTTCAGAAAACTCAATCACTTTGCTTTTTCTTATTGTGGATATACAGCTTTGATTTCAAAGATAGTAGCTGTTAGCTCTATCCTACCCATCTGTATGTGTAGTCTACTGCATTTTTATTCTAATTGTCCATATCAACCAGACCATATATATTTTGCAGGTCCACTTTTCACCTCCAGTCTCATATATGTAACTTAACAATTTTATCCCCTAAATCCAAGACTGCAAATTGTCTGCCTTTGGACAGAATGTGGTTTGTTAAATGTACTTTGTTGGACTTGCACAATGTTTTAAAATCATTAAAATTTGGCTGCCTTGAAAGATCAGAAGAATTGACAAAATCCAGATTTCATCTTTTCTACAAGTATTGGAACATCTAGCAACATTGTGTCCTGATGTATACATGGCAACAATCAGCTAGACCTTTCTAGGTGCTGTTCCCTCTGGATAGGACATGGGACTTTTTTTTTCAATTGTTGACCACAGTCAGTTCCCACCCAGCCCACAACTGGTGTTGTAACTCAAGCTGTAAGCCATTTTGCTTGTGTCCATACGTGGAAACTGACCTACTAAATACTCAGTTTTAAATTTAGGTATGTATGGCTGTGTTGAGGCATAACCTAGATGCTGATAATGTGTGTTAGCATAGGCAATGCTTGATTAAGTTTCTTAATATCTTCAGATTACTTACACATGGACCTGCCTAAAGAGTCCTAGTCACTGATTGGCTATGTATATGTGAATATATAAAAGGTTTTATTGCTTGTTGTATAGCCCCCTCCCTAGACTAGGGTCTTTTTTGAAGATAGTAACTGCATCTCTATTCTAATCAAGCAACTGGGTATTTTTCTTTATTTTCGGCTTTCCTTCAGATACTCTGTTAACTTTACTTAGCTATTTACAGAGGTCTTAAATGTATCTCTTTGATATCTGGTGTGAGCATCCATGAGAAAGAATATTGACTTATTTTCTGCCATCAAAGAGAAGGTTCAGTGTATTTACAACATCTGTCAGAAGAGAAAACTATTCTGATCAAAAAGAAGTTGCTTTGTATGCTCCAACATAATTTTTGAGGGCAAGTTTATTATGCTTTCATTTTGGTTTGTTCATAGTAATCATTAAATGTACTGCACACAAATTCTTTGTTAGGAGATTGAAATGATTGATAGACACTAACCATTTTTCTAATCATTTATTCTCTTTAGAAATACTGGGTATAGATCTTTGCATTGATACTCATAGTAGGAAGAATTTTCTGTTTCCATGCTCTTTCACTTAGGTAGACTTATAAGGTGCTGTTGATGGTTTTTAAAAAAAATCTGGACCTGAAGGCTCCCATGCTACATTTAACCTTGAGCGTGATTACCCCTTTGGTTTTAAGCAGGGTCTTAAAAGTGTTTGTGGAAAAATTAAATTAAGATAATGGAATTTTTCTTGCAACTTTTTGAAGCCCTCTCATACGCATTTATTCTTTGAAGCATCCCTGGATACAGCTAAGATTCAGCTCAACAGAATTTCAGTTTTAACTTTTGGTTACATTTTATCCTCACCGAGTAAATCCCCAAGAAGTAGTATGTTGTTAAATGCTGTTGAGTTAGTTCTGACTCAGAGTGTCCCTGTATAGAATTGCCAAGGGTGACTGGTGAGCTTGAACCGCTGACCTTGTGGTTCAGACCAACTTTGCAGTCCAGCACGTTAACCCACAGCGCCACACCAGGACTCCAAGAAGTAGTATATTGTTAAGTGCCATTGAGTCGATTCCGACCCATAGCGACCCTGTGTAAGGTTTCTAAGGAGCAGTTGGTGAGCTTGAACCACTGACCTTGCAGCTCAAACGACTTTGCAGTCTGATGCATTAGCCCACAGTGCTACATAAAGGAGTGTAGTGGAAATAGGACTGTCCCTATATCTTTCTCCTCATGATTTCTTTCTCGTAAACGTTCATTTGACTTTATAATTATCAAATTTCATTCATATTTGCCTTGCTTTTGGTTGTGTGTGTGTGCATGATTGCCTGTATTCATGAACAAATTATGTTTGTAAACTAGGATCATGGAATACTGGTACAAATGAAGGGGGCCAAATTCTGGGATGCCTCCTTTGAGGTAAAGACACAAGTAAGCTATTAATTGAGCTTATGTTTTTTTTATAGTGTCTCAAAAGACAAATTTGTTGTCATTAAGAGGGTTCTTTTATGAGGAATCTGTGAACTGCTGGAACATTTCTTAGGACCTATCAGGTGAATTCGACCATAAAATTAGAGTGAGAGTTGTGTGTGTTTTTATAAAGGCATACCTCTGATAGGAATGGTGGATTTATATAAATCCCTATTTTCTTCGCCTACGTTGAACACTACTCTAGCTGCTCTTTTCTCTAGACAACCCTCCTTTCAAATTTGCTTCTTGCTCTCAATAATATTGCTTAAAAGCAGCGACTTCAACTCTGAGAGGGTCTTCTTTGAGGGCATTTCATGCATAGTTTCTGATGCGCTGGCAAAGGAGGAAAGAACATGGTAAAGCATAGAGAAATGATAACCCTACTGATAGGGCATGACTGATTTCTGTAGGCCCAGATAATTTATAGATATAATCTTGTTTCGACAGAGTAGAAGACCACCTTTTATTGGAACATATCCTTCAAACATGATACTTCCAATGCAGTTATAACATTAATTGAGTACATAGATATCCATTAGGAGGACAGCAGTTCATGAACTGAGCCTGAGATAGAAAAACAATTGCGAAATATCAATAGTCTCAGATGTGCAAAAGAGCCTGTGCTTTCTTATTCACAATCTTTAAAAGCAGCACATATTTAAAAGAGTACTTAAGTAACCATAGAAGAATATTAGGATAATATGGTATGGAATAAACTCAATGAGAAGAAAACTACTCTGCTGGAACATAGAGTCCCAGTGACTATTTCATCGCTATGTGACTTTCTCTTAATAGCACCTAGCGCTTTCTGAAGTTTACTGAACTTTGGGGTGGTTTTCAAGTTTGTAATCCCAATACTTAAGCATTATTTTATAAATAACCTCTGGACCCTAATGAGAGGCTAACACCCAGTATCCTCTTTCCACTTGCTCTTGTGCTTGCTGATTTGTCATTCCAGGATATGGACAAACCCCTAAGCTGAAGGTCTCCCAGAGGAGGATGCCAAAGCTCCATGCATCATTCTCAGAACGATATCTCCCATAATTCAGAGCTTCTGGTGCTGTCCATTTAATGGGAATCGGCTTTAAGCCAGAAGATGAATGCACACCACCATCCTCTTGATGAGACATTCCAAAATCACTGATTTTCAGAACATTTCCACCTCCAGGCAGTTTCTTGCAGCAAGGTCACTGTGTATACAGTTTTTATTCCAGATACGCCACACCAGAAGCAGCATCTAATGAATATCTCACTACCTGAACTTTAATTCCGCCTTCTTTCTCAGAAAGGAGAGGAAATTGCCTCCTGGAACCACTTCTGTAAGGATGTAGATAGGCCATCTTTGTGTGCGAACTCTTATACTTTTGACAATATTGAGATGATCATATTGCTTGAGGATTTTGGCTTGTAAAAACATTAATTTCAGATCCTGGGAAAGCTTCTTTACACATTTTCTCAGCAACAGCAATTTTATCCTTTCATGTGCCATTAAATACTTCACCAAAATTTCCCTTGCCTAGTAACTCTCCCGATGTGAGACCCATTTCTTATCTTCTTAGTTACGGCCATACTGATACCATGATGCTCTTTACTGAACATTTACCTTGTTTTTCCAGTTTTTTAATTGAGATAAATTCACACAACAAAAAAGGATTAAAATAAAACAAAACCTGGTAACCATTAGCAGTCACTCCTAATTCTCTCTGCCCCTGGAAACCACTAATGTAGCTTCTTTCTCTATGAATTTAGCCTATTTTGGACATTTATAAATGAAATCATGTAATATGTGGTCTTCTGTTTCTGATTTCTTTCACTTAGCATCATGCTTTCAAGGCTCATTCATGTTGTAGCATGTATCAGTACTTCATTCCTTTTTATGGTTGAATAATATCCCATTGTATGAATGTGTACCACATTTTGTTTATTCATTCATCAATTTTGATGAACAGAAGCAATGACTTTTAAGTATTAAAATTGTATGTTCAGCATTAGGGATCCATGATTATAATTGGTAATATCAAGATTATTCATGGTGTGAACAGAATGTTTGAGTTGAAACAAATATGTGAATTATTTGTCAGCATTTCATGAAAGTGATGATTTTCTAAGGCCCCTTTTAGCTCTGGTTTTATCAAATACGTGAATGTAGTATGTTCATCAGTAAAGTTTAATGCATTAAGCATTAGTTTTTAAAATTTGAATGAGAACATTGTTAGGCAGATAGGAAATTATTTGCCACATGTGATGATCATGTTCTGGATTTATTTGAATATGTATGTAGTATTTGAAAAATGTCTACATAAAGGAAAAGAAATGAGTGTAATTGAGTCAATATATTTTTAAAGTAATTTTTTATAATTTAGCAGACATTGCAACTTGCAGCTTAAGTTACTATTAAAATTGTGTCCTTGTATAAAATGTAATGTCATTTCTCTTTCTTTTAAATTTTTGATTGTTGATCATATGAAATAGGTTCCTTTTCATTGCTACATGTTTTGTTTACTTTTGACAAGCTACTGCCCCTGTTGAATGTTTTATTTATTGCTATTTTTCTCTCTTCACCCCGTTTTTTTCTCTCCTTCCCTCTCTCATAAACAAAATGTTCATTGTTTTTTAAGTCATCATAATGTCCCTGTGTTAATGGCTTCTAAAAGTGGACAGTAAGAACTACATGCATATTTTATCCCTTTTTGAGGACTTAATTCAGATGTTTGTTATTGATGAAGCTCACTGACTTTTCTTTAAGTCAATCAATTAATCCTTTCTTTCTCCTTCCTCTCTTTCCTTCTCTCCCCTCTTTCCTTCTCTCCCCTCTTTCCTTTCCCTTCCCCCTTCATCCCTTCCTATCTATAAATATAATCACTTTGTTTCTTTCAGGTGAGATTGGAATGAAATTGTTCAGCTGTGACAGAAATTTATTTTCCTGAGTAGATTGCCAAGCAATTATGAAGAGGGCCCATTTTCAACTCCTTAAATTATTCAGTTATCTGCTTTATTGCTCCATGCTGAAAACTTAAAATTGAGTTGTGCATTACTGTATTTTAACTTGTTGCTTAATTTCTTCATGTTTATTTTCAGTAAATGGCTGAAAGTGTTAACTGTTCCATATTTTTAGCACAATGTGCTGCATACAGTTTCCAACAAGCAAATAAGGTTACATGTGTACAGAATTTTACTTAAGTTTAATTAAATATTGCCTGGGTTTAGTTGTTTTTGTTTTTAAATCTGAAATGCTTTCTTTTTATTGGTTGAAACAGAAAATAAACAATTGTTGAACCATTTTGAATTTACCTCATTTTAAAATGCAGTTTTAATTTATTATTTGGCCTGTTTTTAATATCATTCACTAAAAACTAAGTGGAAGCAGTGTCTTATGCAATGCTTAGGAATCCTTTTATATAGGATGTGTACAACATTAAAACCTGTTTAAAAGAAAAGTCCCAGTGCTCACTTGTCCCTTGCCATGTTTTTTCTTGTAATTATGTCAGACAAATCTTGGGAGGGGGATCCAGAAGTTAATTGTCTTTTAATTCTACAGCTACAGGAGCTTTGTATTGTTGAACTTTCGTCTGGAAAAGTTTCACAGTGACATTTTTAAAAGAGAATTTTTTTATCTACTGAATTCTACCAGTGTAACCTTTTTTCTAAATAAACAATAGTTTTCTCAATTGATTGTACATCATTGTGTATGTTGTTGCTTATTCAAAATAACTTAGCAAACTTAACTCTTAGATTTCTGGCCTTCTCAGTTCTTTGTCCATGAACTACAGTGTTTTCAAATGACATATCTATTACTAAGAAAAGTCCCGTTTGGTAACCTCTGCTTTGGGGTAAGATAGTGGGCTGAAATCATACCTCAAATTTACCACTTAGCCTTCTGTTCTTTGGAACCAATCAATGATATCTATGCAAATTATAATTACAAAGCATGATAAAAAGGATGTAATTTTTTAACAGGCTAAGAAATGCTAAGCACATTTTAGAGTTGACAAAGGGACATAATATCATGTGATGCTCCTTTTCAGGTACTTGTAATTTACAAAGCGTGGTTAAGCAGAGTAGTTACTTTTGAGATAGTGATCCATGCAAAACTTTCTGACATAGAAATGCTTAATTGTGTGATTTCAGCATTGAGAATATAGCTATGGTTCACCTCAAATTCATTTTGTCGGTAACACTAGGGAAGAGTTTTCTAGTCACTGCATTGCTTTTTTGGAGTCCTGGTGTGGCACTGTGGATTAATATGCCAGACTGCAAAGCCGTTTGAACTGCAAGGTCAGCAGTTCAAACTCACCAGCTGCTCCTTGGAAACCCTATACAGGGTTGCTATGGGTTGGAATCGACTCGATGGCACTTAACAATAACAACATTGCTTTTTACATTTTAATTTGAAAAATTACATGATTGTAAGCTTCGACTGGTGGCAGGGGCAGGGGACGGAGGCCCACAGGCCCAGTGGTAGTGGTTGTTGTTGGTGGTAGTCGTATGCCATGGAGTCGGATCCAACTCGGCAATCCTGCACAAGGTTTCCAAGGCTGTAAATCTTTATGGGAGCAGAAAGCCTCATCTTTCTCCCGCGGAGCAGCTGGTAATTTTGAACTGCTGACCCTGAGGTTAGCAGCCCGACACGTAACCACTGCACTACCAGAGGTCTTTCATGGGCCCTATTGTTGTTAGGTGCTATTGAGTCGTTACCGACCCATAGCGACCTTATCCCCAGCAGAACAAAACACTGCCCGATCCTGGGCCAACCTCACTACTGTTGCCATGGCCTGTGAAATCATTTGGTCTGGCCTTGCCAGGGCAATCACACTTGCAGCCATCACATTTGTTGTTAGGGGTGAGTTAATTAAATGACCAAATATAGCAGGCTAACTTTTTTTTTTGGTGTCAGTCTTTTATTTATTTTTATCCTGGTGGTGGTGGTTATGTGTCGTGGAGTTGGTTCTGACTCATAGTGACCCTGAACAGGGTTTCCGAGGCTGTAAATCTTTACGTGAGCAGAAAGCCTCATCTTTCTCCCAAGGAACAGCTGGTAGTTTCCAACTGCTGACCCTGAGGTTAGCAACCCTATTTGTAATCACTACACCTTATCCTAGAAGCTTAAAAAAATGGGAGTTACCTCTTGCCCTCTGCTCCCAAAAAGTCTTTAAAGTTACATCTCTTAATAATTTCCAGATACCTTCTTCCTCTTCCTCTAAACTCTCTTAGAAAGTTCTGAAATTCTCACCCAGTATTCATTATTCTCTGCCTTGATTTAGAGTTATGCATACTATATCTCCCAATATTGGCAATAATGTTTAAGGTTTTATTGTGAATTGAGTGATAGTTTACATGGAAAAACATCAATTTTATATTCATTTCATTGAATATCTGTGTATCATCATTCAACAATATTTGCTTCTATTCCCTTTTATTTATTTATTTTGTGATGGACACAAAAACATAAATATATCATCATTTAAACAACCACAGGGCACATTCTGCATACCTAGCAGGCTAATTTTTAAGTTGGTAATTTTGTATGGCCTGTGGATGATGATACAAATTTTGGCAGAAAAACGGTTCTCCATCACTGTGGGTTAATGTGCCAGACTGCAAAGTCATTTGAACTGCAGAGCCAGCAATTCAAGCTCACCAGCCGCTCCTTGGAAACCCTATATAGGGTCGCTATGGGTCGGAACGTACTCGATGGTACTTAACAATAACAAATTCCTGACTTACATCATCAGTAGCTTACATCATCAGTAGCTTGTCTCCCTGCTCTCCCTATGATTGAATACAGGCAATCTTTGCTTGTGGCCTTGATAGAAATGCATTGAGAATGGGACATCCAGCAAGTTAAATCTTTGGGTGTAACTACAAAAGTAATGATGTTGGAAATAAAAAATGTTTGTGTAAGTTCCTGTCCCTCTGGTACTTTCAATTTATCTGGAAAAATAGAGGCTAAATGAGTTCTATAGGAAGTCAGCAAATTTTTTCTGTAGAGGGGAAGATAGTAAATACTTGGGGGTTTGGGGGCCATATTGTCTCTGTTGCAACTACTTAGCTGTACCCTTGTAGCATGAAAGTAGCCATAGATAATAGGTAAATAAATGACCCTCACTGAATTAAAACTATGTTTACAAAAACAGCTGGTGGGTTGGATTTGGCATGCAGAATGTAGTTTGCCAGACGCTATTATAGAGAATAGGTGGTGGTGGTAGTGAGCCACTGAGTTGGCTCCGGCTTATGATGACCTGGTATGGGGTTTCTGAGGCTGTAAATCTTTATGAGAGTAGAAAGCCTCATCTTTCTCCTGTAGTGTGACTGGTAGATTTGAACTACTTATCTTGAGGTTAGCAGCCCAGTTCTTAATCGACAATGCTACTAAGAGAGTAGTAGTAAAGTGCCATCGAGTCAGTTCTGATTCAGCGACCCTGTATAGGATTTCCAAGGTGAGCTTGAATCACCAGCCTTGTGGTTCAGACTGACCTTGTGGTCCAGTGCTTTAATTCATAGCACCACACCACACCACACCTCCATAAAGAGTAGACAGTCTCAGAAAAAATACATTAAAGTACAATCATGAACAAAACAAATGCTCTGCTCTCATTGAACTTCCATTCTAGGTGGAGGTAGATAATTATGTTAGGTGGCGAGAGGAACTCTGAGGAAAAAGTAGGCCAGGATGAGAGAGGCAGGGGCAGGGCTTACTGCTTTATATAGACAGTAATCAGGAAATGAGCAAAGAAGGATATTTTGAGGCAGATATTACAGTATCAATGGTTTATTGTTCACAAGTAATGTGAACAAGAGAGCTTTGATACCCAGCTCTTCTGAACCTTATAACATGGAAGTCATGCAGCATGCAGATCACCTTTCTCAGGACTTAGGCTCTGAGTTGTAGTGACTGGTCATTAGACTTGCCCATTTTCTAGCAGTTCTTAACTTTGGGCACATAAATGGGTCTGGAGGGTATTTATAAGCCAGAAGTCGAGTGTATTTTTCTAAATCTAGCTTTCACTAGATTATCAAAAGGGTGGTGGCGGCTGTGTGCTGTAGAGTTGGTTCCGACTCATAGCAACCCTGCACAGAGTCTCGGAGGCTGTAAATCTTAATGGGAACAGAAAGCCTCATCTTTCTCTTGTGGAACAGCTGGTAGATTCGAACTGCTTGACCTTCAGGTTAGCAGCACGACTCAACCACTACGCTACCAGGGGTCACATTCACCTCAGTAGATCTAAGGTAGTAACTTTTCTGGGTCTTACTCCAAAGTCAAATTTAATAACCAACCCTGTCTATCTGCAACTGGTGAGAAATTGGAAGACGGTAGTCTATGCATCTACTTGGATTAAACTTACCTAGTAGTTATCATCGGAGTCCTGGTGTGGCGCTGTGGGTTAATGCGCTGGACTGCAAAGTCGGTTTGAACTGTGACGTTACTGCTTCAGGCTCACCAGCCGTTCTTCATGTTCCCATGATAGCATGTAGCTATCATTTTTATAGCTTGTTCCCATGATACATGTAACATGAACATCTCAGTTTAAAAGCTTTTGACTACACAGGGTCGCTATGGGTCAGAACAGACTTGACGGCACTTAACAACAGCTAATCAATTCCAATTTATGGTGATCCTGTGTTGTAGAGTGGAATTGCGCTCCATAAAGGCTGTGACCTTCCCGAAGCAGAACACCAGGCCTGTTTTCCAAGGCAACTCTGTGTGGGTTTGAACTAATGCTAACCTTTTTGTTAGTAGTTGGGTGCTTAGCTGATTGCACCATCCAGGTATTTCTTGGATTAAACAGTCTGGGCAAAAGTTAGAGCAGCTTGCATTGCCTTGGCAAGTGAGCTCCAAGTGATTTGCATTTTATTGTTGGGAAAGTCACTGGCCCATGGTATAAGGCCTTTTCTATTTCAAGGGAGCACTTTAGCCAAGTATGGGTGGAAACCCTATAGTCTTGTCTCCCACCCCCCAAATAATTATGAAATTGTTTTACTTCTACTCTGTTGTTATTAAGTACCATTAAGTCAGTTCCAACTCAGGTTTCCAAGACTGTTAATCTTTGCAGGGGCAGAAAGCTTTATCTTTCTCCCACATAGTGACTGGTGGGCTCAAACCATAGATCTTGTGGTTTGCAGTCCAGTGCTTAGCCTATGGAGCCCCAGCACTTACGAAGAAACATATGCTACCAGATTTTTTTTAAAGTGAAAATTAGGTTCTGAGTAAAGCTAGTAACCCAAATGAGGTGGTTGTTTTTGTTGTTATGTGCCATGGAGTCAGTTCCGACTCATAGTGACACTGTCTGTACAGGGTTTCCGAGGCTATAAAGCTTTACGGGGTCAGAATGCCTCATCTTTCTCCCGCGAAACCACTGGTAGTTTCGAACTGCTGACCTTGTGGTTGGCAGCCTGACTCGTAACCACTATGCTACCAGAGCGCCATTAATACCCTCAAAAGTTGTATGTACTTGGGCCATAACTTGGCTCTGAGATAACCTAGGAGATAACAGAGAAAGTAGCATGGTCAGCTATAGATATTACAGTAGACTCTTGGTGTGGCACTATAGGTTCAGCACTGGATTGCAAACCACAAGGTCGACGAACCCACCAGCTGCTCCTCAGAAACCCTATACAGGGTCATTATGAGTCGGAATCAACTCGATGGCACTTAACAAGTAAGAAGACCCCCAACAAG